TTTGCATGCACATGTATAAAAATTGTGGTTTTTATCCAACGCAATCATAGGTTTGAATGTTGTTTTCAATTTAGACTTGTTTTTATATATAAATATAAGTACGTCTGAACCAGTGACGATTCTTCAACAGATTTTATCCATCGGATCACCAGCAGTGATGGTGATACAAGGCTGAAAATACATTATGTACCCCTACAGAAAAAAAAAAGTTGAGGGCCAGTTGAGGGCCATGTGGCGGACAGTTGACGGCTAGTTGTTTTAAGCCAAATAGTTGTGGGCTAGGTGTTGAGCAATTTAGCTCAACTCAAACCTGGCCAAGCACTGTATGTTGGATAGATGTCGCTCAACTGAAGCTGGCCATTAAGTTCAGGAAAAGTTGAGCAATTGATCTTTGGTTTTCATGTAGTTGAGCAAAAGTTGAGCATTCAGACTTTTATTTTTTTGTAGTTGAGGAAAAGTTGAGCAATTGATCTTTGGTTTTCATGTAGTTGAGCAAAAGTTGAACATTCAGACTTTGAATTTTTTGTAGTTGAGGAAAAGTTGAGCAAAGGATCTTTGGTTTTTTTTGTAGTTGAGAGAACCCTTACAGAAATGAAAAGTTTGCTGCAAACAAATTTGTTTGCAAGAAGTGTTTGCAAGAAAGTTGCAGGATATTCTCGCAATGTTACTGCAACATTATTTGTTTGCGAGAAAATTGCAGCAAATTTGCTGCAATGTTGCAAAAAAGAGTTTGTTTGCTAGAAAGTTGCAGGAACCTTTTCTTATATTGTCTAAGGAATAACTGTTTGCAACAACTTTGCAAGAAACTTTGGATATACCTTATATTTCAATTCATGTTACTCAGAACTATTTGGATACTTGAATTATTTAAAAAAAAAAAAAAAAAAAAAATCTTCAAATAACAATTAATGCTTATAAACAATTTCCTAAACTGTACTACAATGCATTTATGATATCTTGTAAGAAAGAATTTCAAGAGTGCCTAAGGTTTTTATTTCAACAAGTTTAAACTAAATAATTGTGACATATTAATTTGTTTTTCACTTTTTTATGACCTTTTTCTATGAACAATATTTTTTATTTTTTCCATCTAATGAATTTAACCTATATGTTGCAGGTTACATATTGTTTAATTTCTAGTACCATTATTTAATTATATGTATACACAAATTATTTGCATGCCCTCTTTTTCATCTCAATTAGAAATATGAGCTGGTGATATAAATGTTATGTGCCATCTGTTTTCCAATTATCTCTGTGTAGTGCAAGTAGACAGGAAGTATGTATTATTATAAATGTACACGGAGTTTGAGGCCAAATAAGGGAAGCGCATTTTTTTTTACACTTTTTCTGTAATTACTATAACTCATAAAAAAAAGATAAAAAACAAACAATATTTTTTTATTATAATATATATCAAATATTCAAGATTTAGGTAATTAACAGTTATTATTAGGGGCACATTTCAAAGGGATACCACTGTCACAATACCCTAAACAACCTCAAACAAATTTAAAATTTGAACTGGGCATGAGCATGCACATGGCAAGCAAAGATGTCTTCTAGCTATCATGAACAAAATATGAATTTTACAATGGATGTGGATCAAAAGGTTACAAATAACTGTATTGACATTGAATAGTGCAGATGTATTCTTCTGATGACATGACTCTTGGATTAAGGAAGATTGATGTTTACACATATTTATGGATAACAACTTTTGGTAAGTACATTGGATTAGAATTTCCGCCATTTTGAATAAGTGCATATGCTCTTTTAGTTCAAAATAGTGATATTTAAAGTGTCTTCTTAACTTTTTAGAGTGAAGAAAAAATTTAGACACTATATTTATGCATTAATAATTTAATTTATATATTATCAAAATGTGTAAGACAGGAGACATATTTGTTTTTATTATTAAAGACAATTCGTTTTAGAAAGTATTACTAATAAAATAAGAAACTTCTAATATAATGAATTTGGTATTATACTAGAGATCTGGGGTATGACTGCCAATAAGACATCTATCCACAAATGACAGATAAATAAATATATCTTTTTTCTGGTTGAACAACACTTTCTGTCTTGAGTATTTTTGCAATGTGCACTTTGAATACCCCCATTGTACTGACTTTTGCCATTTTGGTTTATAAAGGGGGGGTGGTGGTAGAAATTTTTAAGGAAAGAAACTTGTTTTAGGGTTAAATGAGCAGGTACACTTAAATTAATACAGTTAATAGGGTAATAGAAATTTTATGAAGGCCTTTAATTATAATTTAAAACAATTTTACTTAGACATAGCTAGAGCAATTTTACTAGCCTCTGGTTTAAGCTATAGAGTGATCAATCATGAAGACAGCATTTAGAACTTTTTTTACAATACTTTGCTTTATCGAGGCACTCTGACAGTCAACAGATAAAAATAGTGGGGAAGAACAATTTCATAATATTTTTTTTTCTCAAATAGTGAAGCAAAGTATCAGACACATTCTTATCTTGTATTTATCCATACTTGTTTAGTTTAATTGATTTGTATAATTGGTTAAATGTAGGCAATACAGAACAGACTTTTGATGTAAATGTTTGTTAAATAACATTTAAAAAATATGATATATGATTATGTCATCTTATTAATTTTACAAACAGTGTTCTATCACATTTATAGTTATCATAATTATATATATATAGATTTAATTTCTTTTTACTTTCAGATGTCACATGTGCAATTAATTAAAAAAATGTACAGTGGAAGGAAGATATTACAAAAGAAAGAAAAGGACAATTAAGGATTGTTCAACATTAAACATTGTTTCAATATATATCTTACTTCTTCTTGCATAAAAAGTAATATGGCTGCAGGATTAACTAGATTTTATTTACTAGATAACTTTTAAAAAGCAAAAATAAAGCTGTCATGTAGTCTGTTGTGAGTTTAGATCTTTCAGCAGTATTTTGGCTATATAAAATACACAATTTAAATTTATTTTTTCTACAATTTGTAGTCATCAGTTTGCAATGACCAGCTAATGTTCAACTTTTAATGACCTGGCCCTCAACTATTGGCCACCTAGCCCTCAACTTTTAATGACCTGGCCCTCAACTATTGGCCACCTAGCCCTCAACTTTTAATGACCTGGCCCACAACTATTGGCCACCTAGCCCTCAACTTTTAATGACCTGGCCCACAACTATTGGCCACCTAGCCCTCAACTATTGGCCACCTAGCTCTCAACTTTTAATGACCTGGTCCTCAACTGTTGGCCAAGTAGCCCTCAACTCTAATTGCTCAACTGTTGGACACCTAGCCCTCAACTATGATATTTTGCTAAACCTTGCTCAACTAATTTGCATAAAGTTGAGCAATTGATAGTTGCGGGCTACCTAATTTGCATTGCAAAAATCCAGGTAGCCCTCAACTGGCTCTCAACTATTTGCTCAACTGACGGCCAGCTAGCCCTCAACTGGCCCTCAACTGTTTGTTCAACTGGCGGCTAGTTGAGCAACGCAGATGGCCATCCTATCATTTTTTCTGTATGGGTATATATAATTTGTCTGAACAACAGCCCAACAATGTAAGATCTGTAAATTTGCGATATATAATTTGTCTAAATAACAACCCAACAATGTTAGATCTGTAAATTTGCGGAAGCAAATCTTTTGTTCTTCCTTGGCCGGGATCCGAACTCATGCTACTGAGATATCTTGGCACCAAAAAGCCTTGCACTATGCCCGACACGCTAGACCACTCGACCACCTAGGCTTGACAAAATAAAGCTTTCGGTGGCAGGGTGTTACCTTTCCTCTACAGTTTTATCTAGCGTCGTAACACAGTACATGATATATAAGGCATGAAGATGGAATATTACAGATCAGCTGAATTATCTATTGTAGAGGATCTTACAAATTAATGTAATATTCCATCTTCATGCTTTATATATCATGCACTGTGTTAAGACGCTAGATAAAAACTGACGAGGAAAGGTCCCAGCCTCTGAAAGCTTGATTTTGTCAAGCCTAGGTGGTCGAGTGGTCTAGCGCTTTGGGCAGAGTGCAAGGCGATTTGGTGCCACGATATCTCAGTAGCATGAGTTCGAATCCCGGCCAGGGAAGAACAAAAAATTTTCTTCCACAAATTTACAGATCTAACATTGTTTGGCTGGTATTTAGACGAATTATGTATACAGAATGTATACAGAATGTGTTTTCAGCCTTGTATCACCATCACTGGTGATCCGATGGATAAAATCTGTTGTAGAGTTGTCACTGGTTCAGACGTACTTATATATAAATATATATTACCGGTATAATGTGTGTGTGTATAATTAATTGTAAACACTTTTTTCTGCTTGTTTGAGCTGATTATTTTTTTTCTATATCTATCATATCTTTCAATATAGTAACTTAAACACAAAAAGAGTCAAAACATATATAAGATACAAGGGCAATTGTGTAGTCTGCCAGTATCAAAACATTTTTTTGCTGAAACCTACAGCAAAGGACAGATTTATTCTATCAACAATGATCTTCTGCCAAAAATATATTTTATGACTTATTTGAGAGATGGAAATTAATAATCAGATTTTGCTTGCAGTTTAATAGAACCATACTGTAAAGGTGGAAATTTTCATGGTAGGATTATTTTGGCTTATTTGGCGATCACATAAAATGCGCAAAAAATATCCCCCATGCGAATATCTTTTGGAGTAAAAATATTGATATGAAGGGCATATTGCTTGAAACACAAATTCTTACTAACTACAAAAATATCAACCTCTATAGCAGTACACAATCAGCTTTCAGTATGCTAAAGGTCAATCAAAATTTCTAGCTTGAGACAGCCCCATAGGGCCATCATAATGTAGAAAACCCACATCAGATATCAAGTTGTTCACTACCTAAAACCTTGCAAAAAATGCTTATAAATTCAACAGATAACAAATAGTCTAAAAGCCAAAGTCAATTAAACATGGAAAGAAAACAGAAACAGAGATAAACAATCACTGCTTACAAAGTTGCTGATTTAATATCATTGAAATACATTTGTTCTGACTTTCTTTTCCATTCAACTCGGTGGATAAATAAAACAAAAATAAAGCATTTTTTTCATAAATATATTCTTCAACAAAATATACATTTCTTTGGTCAATTCTATGTTGACTATATATATATATAACAGTTTATTATATAACTTCTTTCACAATCTAAATAATTTATCAGCTAAATACATGTATATTAACTAAATGTATATGTTATTAGAGACATATAGTACAATTATATGTCTCAGCTGATATGATATATTATTATACACCATTAGATTTAAACCTACAAGAAACTTTAACTTATTCCATATCAATATAAAAATAAACAGCTGCGCCATGAGCGCATGATACGCCCATCGTCTTGTGTGTGAATTTTTATGCAATAAGCATAAATAGTTTCTGACATACGGCGTGACAGGCAAAAATCCCCCTTTTTTATTTACAAAAAACTCAATACCTCTAAAATAAAATTTTGAATCAAAACCAAAAAATATACAGATCTTTAGATTAATATAACTAAGAAGTGTGTAAAGTTTTAAGCAATAATCATAAATTGTTTTTGAGATGGGGCGCGACATGTGAAAAAAAAACACACACCTGTTTTAGTTACTAAGTCCCGTAACTCAAAAAGTTTTAATCTTATTTTCACCAAAAAGTATACAGATCGTTTGACCATCATAAGAAACAACTATGTTAAGTTTCATGAAATTTGGATAAGTCATTCTCAAGTTACGGTGCGACATGTTTACACCGGACAGACAGACGGACATACTAACTAAGAAGTGTGTAAAATTTTAAGCAATAATCATAAATCGTTTTTGAGATACGGCGCGACATGTGAAAACCCCCCCTTTTAAAAAAAAAAATCAATATCTCAAAAATAAAATTTTGAATCAAAACCAAAAAGTCTACAGATCTTTAGATCAATATAACTAAGAAGTGTGTAAAATTTTAAGCAATAATCATAAATCGTTTTTGAGATATGGCGCGACATGTGAAAACCCCCCTTTTAAAAAAAAAATCAATATCTCAAAAATAAAATTTGAATCAAAACCAAAAAGTATACAGATCTTTAGATTAATATAACTAAGAAGTGTGTAAAATTTTAAGCAATAATCATAAATCGTTTTTGAAATACGGCATGACATGTGAAAAACCCCTCCCCCTTTTTTTACAAAATACTCAATAACTCAAAAATAAAATTTTGAATCATCACCAAAAAGTATACAGATCTTAAGGTTAATATAACTAAGAAGTGTGTAAAGTTTTAAGCAATAATCATAAACTGTTTTTGAGATACGGCACGACATGTGAAAAACCCCTCCCCCTTTTTTAACAAAATACTCAATATCTCTAAAATAAAATTTTGAATCATCACCAAAAAGTATACAGATCTTAAGATTAATATAGCTAAGAAGTGTGTAAAGTTTTAAGCAATAATTATAAATTGTTTTTGAGATACGGCGCGACATGTGAAAAAAAACACACACCAGTTTTAGTTACTAAGTCCCGTAACTCAAAAAGTTTTAATCTTATTTTCACCAAAAAGTATACAGATCGTTTGACCATCATAAGAAACAACTATGTTAAGTTTCATGAAATTTGGATAAGTCATTCTCAAGTTACGGTGCGACATGTTTACGCCGGACAGACAGACGGACAGACGGACGGACGGACCGACGGACGGACACCGGACATTTGTATACCATAATACGTCCCATCAAAAATTGACGGCTTATAATAAGGAGATGTGGTATGATTGCCAAAGAGACATGGATATAATCTAGTATAGGTCACTGTAAGATCTTTTTATGTATTGAAGAGCAACAAAATACTTTTATTCCTTGAAAATTTCTGAATTGTCTGCATACTTGCATACCGTAAGTGTCATATGTTTACCATGGTGTTGTAATTATTTCTTGACTTTGTTTTAGGGTAAAAATAGAATAATTTGCATTTTATTCAAACTTTTTATTTTACTACTTTGAAACTTATATAATCAACCAACAATTTATTCAAACATTGGATTTTACAACATTGAAATTTATATTATTTATCAACGAAGTAAAATTAAATGTTTGAATAAATTGAAAATAATTTAATGTTTAATAAAGTTACTGAGGTCCACAACATTCTGTTTACTTTTACTTAATTTATGTTCATAGGTGGAACAGGAATGGTTATATTCTCATGCGTTCCTTTAGTTTTTAACCACACTGTATTATTCTGAATAATGATTAAATATAGGTATGTTTAAAAATTCCGATTTTAACCCAATGTTTGAAATAATAAGGCATTTTTGCTACTTACAGTTTATCTCTATCTATTACGATTTATTGAAAAAAACAGCTAAAATCCTCTTAATGTACAATAACTCTTTTAGGGATCAATTGAAGATTGTGCTATTCTGGTTATTTGTAGATCCTATTTTACTGAATATGTTTGCTTTTACACTTTCTCTCTTTCTATTATAGTATTTGTATCTTACCCCTGTTTTATTTTGAGCACCAGTGGCCATGTTTGTTGATGCAACTGAAAAATTGTATAATTCACTTATATTTTCATTCTTCAAATCCAATTATATACATATATGGGATCTAATTTTTTTTCCCAGTAAGTAAAGTTATTGATTTTGAAAAAAAAATTTAACTGCAGACAGAACATAAATGTTGACAACAACAATTCCAACGACAGAATAAAGGACAACTATGTCGCTTCTGCAACAAAATGTTGAAGGCGCAACAAAAAGGACTCTTTATGATTGGTTAATTAATTGATTGGTGTTTAAGGCCACTTTCAGCACTATTGGCTATTTATTGGCGGTCAGTTTTTGTTGATGGAGGAAGCTGGAGTGACCGGAGAGGAACCACGGCCTTCAGTAGGAAAACTGACAATCCTAGTCAAATAAGATTGAAGTTGAATGCACCAGATAAGTGCAGGGTTCAAACTCACAACCTCAGTGTTGAAAGGCTCGTGAACTATTAGCTGAACTACTTAGACCACTTGGCTACCAAGGCCCCCCCCCCCCCCCCAGACACTTTTTTACCATGTCCAACAATTGTGAAATGATAATCAACTCCTAAAAGCCCACAATGCAATGTTATTCAGTGTGTTGATTGGTTAATTTCTATGGGGCATGTTTACATTTTGTATTTGCTGAATTACTAGGCAAATGTATTCTGACGACAGAATTCTAGTGGTCTTGACCTGCTAAACAATTGATATAACATTTCTGCTAACGTTAAAATAGTACATGTATGATGAGACTAGTAATGGTTTTCAATATTTATAATATTCATCAATTAGTTTTTTACAGTTTTGATGAAATCTCAAAATAGATATAATTGAGTGCAATTCTCTGTAACCACCAACCATTTCATATAGGGGGTCAGCACGCACAGTCACCGACTTTCCTGAAACTTAGCCTGACCATGTAATCAGGTGAAAAAAGAAGAAAAATAAATAAATGAACATTGTCATTCTGGAATTCACAATATAAAATTTAAAATATCACTGATGACTAAGGGGATATTTCAGATATTTAGTTGTAAAGTATTAAGGCACATTAAATCATATTTTGATCTGCAAAAAAATGTGTTCTAAGAAATACAGAAATAATCAACTTTATACATTGATGAAAATAAATTAAAAGGCCTTTCAACCAGCACGTATGTTTATTTCTGAATTGGCATTAACTAGAAGGACAGGTAATGTTGGTTGATCTTATATGTTACCTACTGTTCAATATTTTTGGGGATTTCCTGTTAAATTTCGTATTTATTATCTTTTAAATTAAGCTGAGAGCCCAAAAACCAACTGAAAATAAGGTATCACATTTTTGTTAACTGAAAATGTAACATCAGTTAATATACATTATTTAATAAAATGTATAATATAATAATGTAAGATGTTTTAAATAGTATAATTCTTAATTCTTTTACCCCTCTTAAACATTAAATGCCCTAAAAAGCAGACATATCTGTTTGATCAAAAAGATCTTCTTCACTACCATGACTACAAGACAACAAGGCTTCAGTTTCAGCTTTCTGCTGTTCATGCTTTCTTCTACTTTTTAAATACTTGAACCATGCCAGAAATCTTGCTTTACGCATCACTACATCTGAAAAATATATGACTCAATCTTAAAACAAGTACTTCTAGAATTATAATTTTGGATGTCAAAAAATATTCAACATTACGGGCGACTGAAGTAGAACAACATATTAATTCAATGAAAAATGTAGAACACAAGTGAATTGTAAGTTTTGGTCAGTTGTAAATTTTTCGATATTTGAAATTGTGGATAAAATGATAAATTATTAGTTTTACTATAATGAATTTTTACATGTTTATTGTAAATAAAATTGAAAATAAAAGAACTACATCATTTTGTATGCATTCTCACTTTCTTTAGATGTGACTTCATTAAAAAAGGTCCTGATATTGATAAATTTAACCCTTATTTATGTATGACGTCAAAGGAGTGAAAAAACAAAAATTATTTTAACATGTACATGATGTAAAACATCAGTTTTTATTTGCCTGGAAAATCACAGTACTTCGCATTAATTCATTGCAACCAACTCAAAGATGCATTTTAACGTATATTTGTAATATTTTAAATCAGTATTGGCAAGAGAAAAGTTATTTTATCCTATAACCAACGATAGGCATTAAACTATTTCAGTATTGAGAAAGAAATATTTACTGCTTCTAAATATATTAAACTGAAATTTCTTACATTTGTGGCAGTAAAAACCAAATGGTGTGAATCACCAAATCATTTTTCAAATGTGTAAAAGATAGGCTTGTAGAGAGTTCAATAGCTTCACAACACCTTAATGTAAAATTTCATGTTTAAACCTAATGGAGCATGTTAAGATAAATAAATAATTATCTTTCAAAGATGCATATGTAAGCAATCTTATTTACCAAAATATTTTGGTTATTAACTTTTGGCTCATAATTACTTGACCACCTCAAAGTTATCATTGTAGATTAGATAAATAATGTGCCTTCACGCCTAAAAATGTTCCTTATATCATATATGTATATTATTCATTCGTATATAGTACTTCACTACTGACGTGATTTATAAAATACCTTTCTATAATTCTTCATTGATAATAAAGAAATAAGAAAATTCTAAGGCAACGTTTACCTTAGATGGATTTAGCTATTCCTTTTAGGTCCCTTTTGGACTTATAGCTACTGATGAACATTCAAGTACTTATACATTCTTGCATTGGCTTTCAAATTGTCGGGTTTGAGCATTGGTAAATTTAGAAAAGCACGCAACAGAAGTACTTAGTATTGTTATCAATATCATACATAAATCTAAAAAATAATTGAAAAAAATGTGAATGAAAAAATACCTTTAACAAACTCTGGTTTGAGATTATGTGTAACTACTGGATCAATGTATTCCGTGTGTTTGTTCTTACACATCCCACAGTACCATACACCTACTAATACTAAGGTAACAACAAATACCACACATACCAGGGCCCACTGTGGGTCTTTAGAGCTGGAATAAAAATGTAATATTTAGTTTTCTAAAATATTTACTTTTTCTTTGTTTTACCATGTTTACCACATTACTGCAAATCACAATTACTTTCAATTTATAAACAGAGAGACAAATTCATTTTTCAAAAGAGGGACTATTTATTTTGATTCAAGGCAAACCAGGCTTCGTCTTACTTTTAAATACCATATTATTGGCAGCAATGCAAAAGTTACAAATTTCAGTATTTGATTTGACCTGGCTGGAGTATTAAAAGTTAGTGATCTACTATTCTCAAGAGATTATGCTATCATGAGACCATCACAATGGATCATTTCTGGGAATTTGGGAATGGTTTTGTATTATTGAAATATGTGACCATGCTTCAGACTCATACTGTGCTTTCTCACTGTTTTAACAATATGGTGGCATATCTAGACTGAAAAGTTCTGTTGCTACATGTATGTGTTATTTGAGATTTTTTTTATTATACCCTTGCACTGAAGATTAGGAGTATCCTTGATTATTTCTATATGTCAGTTTGTTGTCTGTCCCATGGAAAATTTTTTGCATATCTTTTGCAAGAACTATAAATGAAGAGCTTCCTTAAATTTGGATTTGATTTGATTTTTGGTGTTTTAACGCCACTTTTAAACACCGCTTTGGGCTATTTCGTGGCGGCCAGTTTTTATTGGTGGAGGAAGTCGGAGTGCCCGGAGAAAACCATGACCTTCGATAGGAAAACTGACAATCCTACGTAGTCAATTAAGATTGGAGTCGAGTGCACCTGCACGAGCGGGGTTCGAACTCACAACCTCAGTGTTGACTGGCTAGTGATTACAGTAGTAACTACTTAGACCACTCGGCCACCGAGGCCCCCCTTAAATTTGGAAGCAATCTTCATCTGAGCATGCTGTACCATGTGATGCATTTTCACAGTCATTTATATGTTTATGGCTCATCAACTTCCTGCCTACCAACATTTAAAGAAGGGATATTGTAAGCATGGTTAGTGAGCAACAGCTTATAGGTAAATCTTGGTGATTTTACACTTTATTTTTAATGTTAAGTTATAACAATCACTTACTATTCCATCTGTAAAATAGCCTCCCAGTCTGCCATACCAGGAATAGTTGAGTTCCCTGTGTCATTCATACTTCTTTTTGAAACATGTAAACTATTGTCTGTAGTAACTTCTGTATTATTGAATTTTATTTCATTCTTTCTGATATGTACATTTTCCTTTCCTTTATTGGTAGTTTGTCTTTTAACTTTTTTCTTCAGATGATCTTTCCGCTTTTTCATTTGATTATATATTTCAAAATATTTATCAGATTTTAAATTATTTAATTCATTTTTATTACTTATACATACGCCTTTAATAAACTGTGGCATATCATTAAAATGCTGAACACATAAAGAACAAAAAAGTTCATAAAATTGTTCTAAACTATCACTATGACGATATGTACAACAATTATCATACACTCTTTGATCTGTTCTTTGTGTTCTCTTTCTCAGTATATTGCACATCATTATGATCTGGGTTAAATGTAGTTGAGCTTGTGTTTCAATATTGATAATTGGCCATTTTGTCTCCTGATTGTATTCCATTCTTAAAGTAGAATAGGTATCCTTGACTGGTGTATCTTGCACATTTTCTCCAGAATGAGGTTTAACAATTAAATCAATAGTGGCAAATGAGCTGTCTGTTGGAGCTGTTTGGCACTGTAAAATATATCGGTATACAATGATATAGCTCAGGTACTCAAGTTAATTGATTAATTTTTATTGGTTTGCAGATAATCAATACAAAAACAAACGTTTGTATTTATATGAAGATGTTGTGCAAGATTATCACACGAAAAGAAATACATAATAGAGGTAGTATGGTGATGCTTTAAACCAACTAATTTTCAAGAGCTATTTATTTCCCCATTTCTGGAGTAGAATTTAATGTTCACGCAAATATAAATAATCGTAAATATGTAATGAAATTAAGAATGGAAATGGGGAATGTGTCAAAGAGAAAACAACCCGACCAAAGAGCAGAAAACAGCTGAAGGCCACCAATGGGTCTTCAATACAGCGAGAAAATCCCGCACCCGGAAGGCGAGCTTCAGCTGGCCCATAAACAAAAATGTGTACTAGTTCAATGAAAATGGACGTCACACTAAACTCCAAAACATATAAATGCACTAAAATTAAAAAACATACAAGACTAACAAAGGCCAGAGGCTCCTGACTTGGGACAGGTGCAAAAATGCGGCGGGGTTAAACATGTTTTGTGAGATCTCAACCCTCCCCTATACCTCTAGCCAATGAAGAATAAACAAACACACAGCAATACGCACAGTAAAACTCAGTTTAAAAGAAGTCCGAGTCCGATGTCAGAATAGATAACAAAAGAAACAAAATGACAATGATACATAAATTAACAAAGGACTACTCGCAGTTACTGACATGCCAGCTCCAGTCTCCTCAATTAAACTGATTGAAAAATTATGTCTTCATCATATGAAAATCAAGCACAATCCCTCCTGTGAGGGGTTTAATATCATACCATCATAAAATATATGAGAAGAACATAACCCGTATAACATTGTATAATGCCAACAACTGGTTTTAGAATAAATGTGTTTATTTCCGATGCAAAGACCCTATGAGTGAATCAATATTAATACCAAAATATGCCATCTTTAATGACCTGACAACAGTATCGTAACTATATCCCTTCTGAATAAGTCTGTTTAAAGGTTTGGTTACATGTAGCTTTTGAGGTGAACATGGTGAATGTCGACATTTTTGTGCTTTGTATAGAATATTACCATAAAAGATTGGATGTGAAATACCTATATGTATAAGATGTCTGCATGTTGATTTATATTTACGAATGATGTCCTTGTACCAATGATAAAATTTAGTAAATGTTTTGACCTGTTTGTGATATCGAAAACCCTGGTGTAATAATTTTTCAGTAATACAGAGGTTTCTTTCGTTAAAATCAAATAAGTTGTTACATACACGAGCGAATCGAGCAAGTTGAGATATATAAACACCATAAGATGGTGACAAGGGAACGTCACCATCTAAAAATGGATATATTAACATGATCATTTACAATCATGACAATAGGAAATGAAAAATCATCTCTTTGATCTTTGATCTTTCCTTATTCAACTACATCAAGTAAATTGGAATATAGCAATATTAGATTGGTGCAAAGTCAGCTAGAAAGGGCTCAACATGTATCTGTGAATGAAGTTGATTTATAATATTTTTCATGTAATAACCCTGATACTATAACACAGTGAAATGAAACTGAATTAGCAGTATTAAAAAGAGAATATAATGTGGCTTTTTCTATATCATATCCATATCAACCATAAGACACTGGTGCTCGAGGGATATTGGTTGAGAGTTGATACAATGTGTGATATTGAAAAAGACATTATTATATAAACTTTACTGCATACCTCAAGTAGATGTTTTAGACATGACGTAAGGTAATACAAATTAGGGGTTTGTTAAAGCCATTTGCAGCCATGACAGATATTGATGATATCACATCACACAGATTACAAATTTGTTAAAGCCATTGAAACCGTGACAGCTATTGATATCATCACGAATGATTTAATATACAGCACAATTGCTGGGCAGCATGATTTTTCTTGTATAAATTGTTTCACATACTTCATGTCGGTGTCTATTAAAGCAGACTATATGGTATGCATTTATCACAATCTTATAGGCTCTATGGTGGTCTATAATTGCTAAAATCCACTTCATTTCAACCCTGGTAAATAGTTGTCTCATTGGCATTTGCATTGATACCTGTACATCATCTTATTTTCATACTGAACAATTTGTCAGGATAACCCATGTCATGATAACTTAAGCTCCTTATCCTACTTACAAAGTGACCATTAATGTACCATATCAAAGTCAAATATTTAACATAAATGGGTAAAAAGGTTAAAAACATGATTTTGACATCATCATTTTTCTTCTTCTTCGGAACAAGTTCTCTCCCGGATACTTGTTCCAGATTGTTATTGTATATTACTACCAAGAGCAGATAACTCGTTTGCTTGACGAAAATGTAAACAATCCAAAAAGAAAACGCAGATATTTACAGGAAAAACCCATTAACAGGTATTGTTCTTTAGATTTGTTAGATAAATCTCATATAAATATTCTAACATTGAATTGTTTGTAGTCTTTAGTTTTCATTCAAGTGTGTAAATTATACGAGTAACGAGATACAGGTATATATTTCGAACCCGGACTTAAAAGATTGGATATCCTACCGTAGTCTATAATCGGTCATCATGTTGGTTCGTTCGGAATTTGTTATTGTACTTATCACACGGGAAAACTCCGCATTGACGTCACTACACTAATACCAGCGTACAAAATTAGTGCAGAATACATTTTTCTACTCTTTTAAATAAAAAAAAGAATTCTAAAGATATGTTTTCATTGTTATTCTAAAGTATTGTACAAAAATGCCAATTTTCTAATGGCCGTTTCAAACCTGACCTCCGAATGCCTAAACACATTCCAGAACTTCAGAAAATCCCTCTTCCGGCCTCCATTGCTTTGTTTACATTCCATTAAGCGTCATCAATCTTAATGGCAGATCAAACAGGCCAAGCAAATCGTATTTTTAAGAATTTCAAAATAGCACCTTACGTCTTACGCGATTATCCCGCGAAAAAAAAACCATCCAAATTGAAAGAAAAACTTTGGGAAACAAACGATAATCATGCCATATTTTTGTTTAGGAATATCATGAATATAAAGTAGGTTAATAAAAAACAATATACATATATTTTTCATAAAAATTTTTTTTGGTTCAATATAAAGAGATTGATATTCTGACCATAGGTAAATATTCATATAAAATTCCATTGATGTCAAATTTCATGGCTAATGAGGTTTCCTATTGAATAAACCCCCAATTTATTGCAAACTATTTCAAAGCAATATCATACAAACAAATAATATAATTGCCTTGTACTAAAAAATCACCTAATTGACAGTAGAGCAATTTGATTGGATATAACGATTCAACATGTTCAATGTGTCACGTGGTTTTGAAGCCATTAGAATTTGAATGTAAACAAACCGGGTCAGCCGCTCCAGTATGGAACAACATCGTACATTCAGTGACTGAAAAACAATTATGAGTAACCAAGCTTGACAATACACAGTAATAAAAAAACAAAGCTAAGTCTACAGAAAAATAAAATAAAAAATGTCCTTAAGTGCACGACTTACCACCATTGCGGGATATTTGAGCACAGGAATCGGAAATTCTATCAAATAAAATTCTGTAAATAATAAAGTCGACTATACGAGAAGCTCTATTGATAGTCGACTTTTATTATTTACAAAATTTTATTTGATAGAATTTCCTATTCCTGTGATTTGAGCAATTTTCAACAATCGCACATTAGATAATATTTCATTTAGGCTATAATAATCCGACAAGCATATAAATGTTCAATGTGGAAATAATATGAGGCAAGTGCTACATATGAATGAGGACAAAGCCCGTAAAAATTATTATTTAAGTACTGATCTTTGCGAAATCAAAAACAACAGTAAAATGTATGTACATGTACTATATGGCCTTCAGTCATTTCTACATTTGATAAATTTTGACATTAAAAATATCAAATAAATCAATATCATTTAGAATGAATCCGTAACAATTGAATACACTACATCATGTACATCATGTACATCATTTACTTCTTGACTGATTGCTGAAAGACGTGGCGTCCATACTGCCATGTTGTCCATACCGTGAAAAGATGTATAGGCAATAGGACAACATCGTCCATACTTAGTGAAGACGCGTCGTCCATCATGTCCATGGTTTTTTTCTGGGAAAATAAATTTTATCTATAAAGTATTGTGATATATACATGTAGATGGTTATTATAACTTGTAAATGTATTGTGCTGTATTTACATTATTTGTCATGTTTTTATATATTATATAGTCAGGGGTACTATTTGCACAAGTAATTTGTATTTACTTGAAAAAGTAAATACTTATATAAGTAAATTTGAAGGATACTTATACAAGTGTCTTTTATTTACTTGTATAGGTAAATAATGATTTTTGGCTTACATTGTAGTAATGTCCCTTAGACATTCAAACTTTTTTACTTATACAAGTAAAAAATTCATCCTGTAAAAAAGTCATCCTATCTTCTTTTCTTGAATTCTTAGGACTTCTTTGCTCTAATAGAATTTTTAATTGTCTGTCCTTTGCAGATGTCTTTACTAATTTAAGTGTAATTTCATGGAGAATGAAAATCTCATTTGTTTGTTATCTTCAGAACACTGCTCATTTACAAGCCCCCAAGGGACAATTTTTGAAGGCCTTGCGAAAATACTTAAGATCTTTGCACAATTGGTTTCTTTGTTGAATTAATGAGATGAAACATTGAACTTTAATCAAAAATTATGAGCTAACCTGAGAAAAATTGTTAAAGGGACACTAGCTGTCAAATTCATGTTCACCGATTTGACTCAAATTCTCATATTTGTTATATAACAATGTAAAACATTTATCCAAATTATAAAAAATCTAAAATAAACAATTTACAGGGCATAGGGTTGATAATATGTAGCTTTGTTTTGAGTGTATTTTAGTCTAGACACCATCTAATTAACTGTCGAGTTGACCTCCCGATAACCACCGATGCCCATATAAGGGATATAAACATAAATAAAGATATAAATAGATAGCGCAACTCGTGCAATTGGATTCTTCTAGGTCTATTTAATTTCATTTATAGATTAAAAATATATGTTAATCATCATTTTTACCTGTATAAGAATGATTTTTTTGAGGATCGAATCGATCAATTAAATGAATTACCTTTGTTTACTTTCAATGTTGACATTCTTTTCCTTTAAATAATCAAACATGCACACAATTCATGCGTTATCCAACTCTATCTAAGGGGTTAAATTGAAGTTCACATGAATACGGATTCAATGAGGTCGAATTATTCCCTTGCAAGTGAATAATTCATCATCAATATTTATTTGCTTATTTTGACAAAGTTAGACAATACTGGCTGCTAAAAGCGAATTATTATTTCACTATTCCACTTTCATTAATGATTGAACAAAAAAAATCATATTTTATATTTTTTTTATATCTCGTAGCTAGTGCCCCTTTAAAGGCATGTTTTTACAGCTCAAAACGAGAATTTTTGTGGGATTGTAAAAAAAATTACTTATACAAGTAAATTTTTGAGAAAATTAAGGGGAGATTATTCAAACATTATAATTAACTTATATAAGTATATATTATTTACTTCTTCAAGTAAATAAAGATTACTTGTACAAGTAGTACCCCTGACTGTTATATACACCTGGAATACGCATTATATATATCATATATAAATGTGATTTATCTAATTAAATATTTATATTATTTTTTAAATTGATTTTTTAATATCTTGCATAAAAAACAAAGTGAAAAAATAATACAAATAAAAAAGAATATCCAAAATGAGAGATTAATTTCTGTCATAGTCATGATAGTTAAAACAAGAAGTTTAATTCTGAAATATAAAATTAAGTAATCAGATAATGATTAATTTTAAAATATAAGAAGATTGTTAATTGCTTAATATCATTTCTTTGATGAACATAAGTATTAATTATGCTTTTGTCAAGAAATTGTAAAGGAAATACAAAACGAGATAACTATAAATTTTATACAGAACAATAGTACCCAAGCTGAGTTCCAGCGGAGACAAACATACATTGGGTAGACAAATCCCTGATCTATGAGAATAAAAATGGTACGCGGTACTGCACAGATGGAATATATGCTGTTTAGTTTCTACTCTGTTAAACAGCTTTAAATCAATTTTCAAAGTCGTAGTAGGGATGAATTATCAATAGCATTAAATTAAAACCAGTCTTCTATGAGTCTACTTGTCTTGTTGAACAGCAGATGTACAGAAGTAAAAATAAATATATATATAGTCAACATCTATACTGACCCTTTCAAACCGGCAAACTTGTACATTATAAATACATGTACTTCAACATGTTCAAAATCATATTTAACAACTATGAAATGAAACTTCTTGTATTATTATATTTTATGTTACTAACCACAATGGAATAAATACTTAAAGTATGGACGATACGTCTTTACAAGGTATGGACGATGTGGCGGTATGGCTGACACATGCTATAGACGACGTTGAAGAATGGCCGTCGCGACTCGAAAGCAAAGAATTTGCACCACATCTCACTTTCATTTTTAACACATCTTTTTTGAAAGGGGATGTACCATCAGACTGGCGACAGGCAAATTTGTGTATTCCTATTTTTAAAAAAGACGAAAAATACCTAGCCAGTAAATACAGGCCTGTCTTCTTAACCTGTATATGCTACAATCTCTCTTAGAACACATTGTAGTAAGTAACATCCTAAAACATCTGGACACACATAACATTCTAGTGGACAATCAACATGGTTTCTGAGCTAAACACAGCTGTAAAACACAACTTCTTACATTAAGTCATGAATTACTAAGTAACCTCCATAATGGCATACAAACAGATCTAATTATATTAGACTTCTCTGAGGCATTTGACAAGGTACCTCACAATTTTTTTTTAGGGAAGATGGATTATTAAACTATGGCATAAGGGGAAATACCTGAATGGGTATCAGCCTTCCTTAATAATAGAATTCAACAGGTTGTCCTTGATTGGGAGGTATCTAGTCAAATGCCTGTGGTCAGTAGGGTACATGTACCTCAAGGCTCAGTCTTGGGTCCACTACTTTTCCTGATTTTTATAAATGGCCTCTCTGAAACAGTAACATCAAAAACACACTTGTTCGCAGATGACTGTATTTTATACAGAACAATTAAAAATCAGCAAGATTTTACCATCCTGCAAAATGACTTAAATTGCCTAGCCAAATGGGAACAAACTTGGGGTATGCAATTCCAACCAGAAAAATGCAATTCCCTCACTGTAACAAGTCACAGTCACCATACAAACACGAATATGTACTGAAAGCTTGAATCCGTCAGCACAGCAAAATATTTTGGTATCACCTTATCCAACAACATGTCATGGGATACCCATATTAACACATCACTGCTAAAGCAAATAAGATCTTGGGCTTTTTAAAAAGAAACTTAAAAATAAATCAGGAAGAAATAAAAAGTTTGGCTTACAAATCTATGGAACAATCAAACCTAGAATACTGCTCTTCAGTTTGGTCTCATAACACCCAAAAACAAAAAAATTACATTTTGAAAAAGTACAAAGAAGGGCAGCACCCTACGTCACCAACAGGTACATGTACCATAACACCAGTAGTGTCACTTCCATGATTGACCATCTTAAATGGAAGTCACTTAAAACTCGCAGAAACATCAATCGAGTAACAATGATGTACAAAATAACACACCACCTTATAGCAGTAGACCCAAACCTTTACCTTTCACCACAACCAGTAAAAATCACCAGATTCACCAATTCACCAAATATCAAACATTCAGCACCGGAACCATAGAACAGATTACTTTGAGTACAGCTTTTTCCCATTTACAGTTGTACTGTGGAATTCACTTCCACAAAAATAAAACATCACCAGCATTAACTCTTTGGATCAGTTTAAAGTACTGATCCAAAGTCAGTACATTTAGTCATATACCCTATTTGTAAATATGTAACATGTGTAAATGTGTTTATTTTGTTAGTTTTTGCACAAAGTTAGTATTGATTATTGCACTCATAAAATTGTTATCTTTTAATAAGTGTCTGTTTGCTATTCTCCAACGTATAGTCATCAATGTGCTGATGGATTGTTGTACGATATAGATGTAGATATAGATGAATTCCAAGCATAGTTTCTGTTGAAAATGTAACTGAAATACAGAAACTTATCAGATGTTGGTCCTGTTGTTAGGAATTTTATTTATGACCAGTGTAAATCCAGAAATTATTGCGATGTATTTATTAGTTCCAAAAATGCAACAGGGTTATAATTGCAATAATTTAAACTCGCATTTTGAAATTTTTTATATGAATTGAACAGGATTTTTCTCAATATCTCAAAAATTTAATTCGCATTTTTGTCTAAAATGACAAAATCGCAATAATAAATGCACGCAATAATTTCTGAATTTACAGCCATCATTTTCAATTAATGCGCAATGTAAGCATAAAAAACGCTATCTTCAAGTAACATTATCTTTTTTCATATTACAGTATTATTTAATTGAAAAGATAACAATTTATACATTTGTACATTAAAGCGACGAAGATACAAAGTCCGCTTTATATTGTTCATCTTCGTGTATCCATTACAAATATCTGTCGTATTGATCAGGTGAGTTGCCAATAGAACTCATTGTGTAGCTATAAAATAGTATAATGAATAAGCACTAGACTCATTTTGAAATGATACAGAATTTATTTTTATTGGTTAACAGCAAATATTTTTGTTGCAATCAGATACAACAAATTTGCTGGAAACCATTTGATGCTCCTTCCTATATTTTGCGCAAAGTTTCGAGAGAAAATATAACAGAAAAGATTTCTGCACAAATGCGGGAAGTGGAAAAAAATACTGAATGATTTTGGATTCTTTAGTATATTAATTGATTTTTGTTTTTATTGATTTTTCTACTGTAAATGAGGACTTCATCCTCATATATCATGTATGTAATATACAGTACTGTAAATGAAATAATTAATTGATTAAAAAATTTATCCTTTAATTCTTTTAGCATCTTCTACTGCTGGATAACTCAACTTGAAACAAACTCAGTGCATCAGTAGCTTGATTATGATATTTTAATGTTATAGGATGGGTTCTGCAGCTAGTAAGAAAAAGAACGAACCAAAAACTCCATCAAGACTTGCCCCAACTGGAGGTCAAAACAGGTCGAGAGCATCATCACTTACCCCATCAACAGGAACCAATACAGCTAGACCAAGATCTAGGTCTAGATCTCCAAGTATAGTTCCCGCAAAACTAGAAACAAAAGATTTAATGATAAGCTATAGCCATGCTGATAAAGAATTCATGAATAAACTTAAAGGTAAAATACATGCATACATGTACATGTACATAAATGTAGAACTGCAGAACTTAATTCATCAGTTAAAAGCCAATTAATGGCAAATAGAGATGTGATGCATTTGTAAGAGGGCAACCAAACACACTACAGACATAAAGTGGTAAAGTGGGAACTTTCAAATAAGAAATGCTGCTGAAATTCATACCCTCTGGATGAACCAAATTTTTTCCACATAAACTTTAGAGATATTCATTTCCAAAAGGATCCGATTGACTAAAAAAAATTAATAACATTGTTTACTTTTGATTATATAGACTGCCAAAAGGTGAACAGTGCTTTGAAAAAAGTGGTAAAGCAGTAGGGGCTGTCTATAATGTTGGAGAGTGGCTTTTATTGAAGATACATCAATAGATTGAAGACAAAGGCTTTTTAGAGCCTCTAGTTATAGTTAGTCATTTTGCAGTTTCTATCATTCTTTTTTATTAGCTACTACAATCAAACATAACAAATACAGGGCATCAGAAAGAAGTTGTAGAGTAACTTGATAAAGAAAAATAATGTAAAATTATTTTACAGATAATTTAGAACTAAATGGAATTACAGTATGGGTAGATGTCATAGGGTTGACAGCAGGAGTAGATTTCCTACAGAAGATTGGACAAGCCATTTTAGATGCAAAGGTACATTATGTACAAATTAACTTTTGATATATACATACAAATGTTATGGGAAATTGTTAACATTGATATAGTATTATTTAAAAGACCATTTACATTAAGTGTTTTAGCTTATCTCATTTACTTTTATTTATTTTGGGAGGATCCTGAAAATTTAAATGTAAAAATGAAAGTTTCAATAAACAATGTTTAAATTTGTTGCAAATTCAAATTAGTAAGTAACAGTGAAAGTGTGACAGTTTATGATACTGGTTTTGCATAAAATTTTCATTGATTTGAAGTCATATAATATTAAAATTAGAAGATGTGGTATGATTGCCAATGAGACAACTCTCCAACAGAGACCAAATAACATATATTAGTTAACAACTATAGGTCACACAATTAGGCAAACAGGTAAATATTTCACTTTTCAAATGCATTAAAATCAAAACAATCTAATTTTGCTGATGAGTTCATATACTAAAGTCATTCAATAATAAAGAGCTTTTTGTAATTTGAATAAAGATACTTTTTATGCATGAAAGAAATTTGAGATTATTTTTTAAAGTACTGTAAACCTGTATTTAGACTTATAACCAAAAGAAAAAGAGCAAAGATTGCCAAAAAATTGCTATACAGATTTAGTAAGTTACGAATTGTCTGAAGAAAAGCATTCAAACAAGCAAATATATTCTAGATGTTATTTGGTTATTTGTGTCATTGGGTTGCTGTCTTGTTGACTTATATCCCACATCTCTTGTTATTCATACTATGAATGTTATACAATTACTGTCTTTTGATGAGGTAAATTTGTGGTTTTATTGACTTTTGAAAAATTGATATTTGCTGAGGCCAACGGCCGAAGTGAATATCAGTTTTTCAAAAGTCAATTTAACCACATATTTACCGAAACAAAAGACAGTAATTGTTTTATTTCATATTCCGAGAGAGTACAGATAGAAATGTATATTATGACAATTATTTACCAAAACCAATTGTATATCAAACGATTTTAACATAATTATACACGTAAAAGCATGCGACGTTTTGCACGGTGAATATACTTTTTCCACAGGTGAATATGCCTATTTATTCATTTTTCCACAGGTGAATATGACTATTTATTCATTTTTCCACAGGTGAATATGCCTATTTATTCAAAATCCCATTCATATAGAAAATCCTACTAAAGTTCTATCAATATGGAATAAAGATCTTTATCTCATGGATAAAATTAAATGATGTAGTTGTATATATATATGTCTTTTTTTTTCATGCATTTTAATTGCTACTAACCAGTTTTGAAATTTTTGATAAACTACACATAGATAATATTTTCTGTCAAATCTATTCAGAAAAATATACTGGAACTCTTCAGTATTTCATTTTATAATCTTTAGAGAAAAAAACTTCTAAAATTACAATATTTGTCCACTCTTGACAGTTAAATTTTCAATCTTAAAATATCACAACTGGAGAAATATCATCAAGGCAGTATTGTGGTAGATAGTGGTTGGCTTTGATACAGAATAATTTGCCGGAGTAGGATGACTCCCTCTGTTACCTTGTGAGCTAGAACCTAAAAATCCTGCTCAAAGAGTTATTCATAGGTGTACAAAACAGGTTTCATAATACATGTATAATTTTATTGTCTGAATATCTATGTAGTGTATGCCGCTGGATGTAAAACAGTCATCCATTGGTCAATCTGTTTTTTTATACTTAGTAAAATAATGAATGCAGTCCCTGACTATCAAATTGGTAATGATACTCATCAATTTAAGCAAAATAGCTGATCTTCCATTTTGCAATCAATTGATCTCAAAACCTTGCTATGATATTTTTATTTTTATGATATTGTTAAACGTAATTTTATCAGTCCAACATCATATTTTGATTATTTTAATTTCTTTTTTAGCTTTTTATAACTTTACTGAGCTCAAATTCTGTTAAATCAAAATACTGTCAAGATGAAGTAGCTTTAGCCTATATTTCCCAGAAGGCCTTATTTCCAGTTGCCATAGAATCAAAGGAGACTATTCAAGAGCATATGGACACAGGATTGTAAGTTGAAAAGCAAGAACTCTACTGATTGTATCTGTTTTTGCAGCAGTGTGATTTTCTTTCTATTTGTCATTATATAACAAATGATATCTGTATAAATGGTCACTTTTATGTAAAACTTGGATCTTTTCTATATAAAAACATCATGACAATTAGATTTTTATCTTAAAAAATTGTGGCAAAGTTAAGTATAGAAAGAGTTAAGGGCATACTAAAATGTAAAATGATATTTTTCGCGACGTCAAAATGTGACATATTGAGAAAAGATGCATTTTTTGACAGATTTTTGACATTCAGACTCGTTTATCTTGAAAACCTGTTCATGGACCCCTCTTTTTAAAAATGACATTTGGCTTGATTATATATGAAGATTACTTGTGCCAATTTTTATAAACAATTCACCGATGAATTTTTTTAAAAATTGGATGAATATACAGTAAAAAATGCTGTTTTTTGACTAAAATCATGAAAATGTGATAAAAACGAATTATTTCCAAAGAAGTATTACACAAATTCAAAGCACACTCATGTAGAGAAGGTATCACAGATGTTTTTACAAAAGTTCGCTTGCATTTATCTTTTAAAACAAAAAAGTTAGGTATGTCTTTCCAAAAGATAGAAATGTCCAAGAAACCAAAATTTCCAGTAAATGTCTAAAATTTCGACCCCATATATCTCTAAAAGTAGGTGTATTTTTTATTACATATTTGAATTGACTGGGTGAAAAAGAGCTTGTATGCAAACTTTTGTCAAAAATTCATAGTGGGATCAAAACTGTATCGTTTGCCCTTAAGCATGGAATAAGTATCCTCAAAAATAAGTTGGTTAACAATTACTGAAACTCTCTACTGAAAAAAATTCTGTTTGATTTCCCCTCTTCCTATATTCAAACACAAGTATATTTTTTTCACAGGAATTTGCTATATATTTCAACTCAATTAAATGGTTAATAACTATCAAGTGTGATTAAATCAGCAGAAAACTAAAACAACTGAAGATAAAATTATGTCCGAAAACCAATAAACTTCAAATAGTTCTTCATCTTTCAACACCTGGTTTATAAAAAAAACCTTCTGTCAAAGTTTCCTGGAATTCACTGAAGGTCTGTATAAACTTTAACTCTAAACACTATTTAATTATTAACTAAAAAAAATAGTCCATTTATCAGTAGAACACAGAAAAGGGAAAAATAAATGGAAATTTTTTTTAAGATGTTATCTCTTAGTCACAAAGAAGCTTCTGTCCATGAAGGTTTGACAAAGTTATTGATGCTTAAAAAAATCTAAACACAATCTGCATGAACCTCAATGTTGACTGTACTGTTGAAGGATAATTTAGTATTGCTATGTCTTGCCTTCACCAAATTTTGTAACAGACGAGACAAAAATGAACGAAAAGCTTTGTTCTGACAATAGATCTACATGTTTGTGTAATTATCATGTAGAATGATAGTTAACTGGTATCTGTACAAAGAAGGTAGAAAACTCATCAAAGATACCAGGCTAATAATTTTCTATGCCAGACACACGTTCAAAAGACTCATCAGTGACGCTATAATAATAAAATGTTAAAAGGACAAAGTATGAAGTTGAAAAGGGCAAAAAATTCTGACTATTTATCTCCTTATGCTGTAGTTCATAACTTCATATAATGCATTATGTAAAAATTGAACAAAAATGCAGGCTTATATAGAAATTGCTGTTTCTTGCAATATGTAGCATATTTTTTTTATTTAAATACTGTATACCTATTAAATTGGGATCTATTTAGATGACATGACTCAAAGAGAAGTTTTTTTTATAATAATGAGAATTTGTAACAAACACTTGAGAAAAGTGTTCTATGATGAATACTAGTTTTTATTTCTGCACATTTTTTTCTAACACCTTTTATATCATTTATTTTCCAATACCTGTAAAACCAATAAAAATATATAACAAGAGATGATTTTCCATGGATTTTTTAGGTCATACCAAGTGCAATTTTCTCTAATGATCAATATTATTATTCCACTGCATGTTATTGTTGATAGCGAAATGAACAGTTGATTGGTTGAGACTATCCCATGTGACGTCAAATAAAAAACTTCATATTCCCCTATGAACGTCAGGACTTTCATGTGCAACGTAACGCGTGGTTAATGTTTATAACGTTTTGAACAGGTTTTTGTTTAGAGATAGTATAGTAATTTCGTTTTCAGAACTATTTCAGATCTAAAAACAAAACAAAAGGAATAAATGATTAAATTTTGATCGGTACTGATTATCATTGTTAATGTCGTGTTTAGTTATAAAAACAAGCGGATAAGAAAAAGTGGTATGTAATTTAATATCTTATGTTCAGGAAGTAAAAAAGTATAGGTAGTGGAATAAAAAATTCATTTCCCTTGTCTTATTAGGAGATATGAAGATTTGTTCACCCTCGAAAAGTCATATTTCCCTCGGGCACTGCCATCGTGAAATATGAATTTTCTTGGGTGAACAAATCTTCATATCTCCCTCAGGCATGGGAAATTAATGTATAATGTCAATATTTTAAATCATGGACTCACTTATTACTTTATCTTTTATAATGTTTAACAATTATGTTTATTTTCTTACAGGAAATTACAAACAGCCAGTATTGAATGGAGTTATTTCATAAATCCTGATGATTTTACTGGTGATTTTCAAAAACTTCTGTCAAAACTCAAACTAGAACTTAAAGACCAGGGTGAAGGTATGAATAATAAAAGACAAGAATGGACACACAGAAATGTCTCATTTGTTCGATTGATTTTAGTTCAAACAAAATGTTAAAAGTCAGTGAGGTCAAGGCCAGACTATATGTATCAAACTTACAAACATATACATGCCAATAGATATTAGATTTAACCTAAACATTAATTTGGACCTAAATACAAAAACATTATATATATGAACATGTAGCTGAATTTTTTTTTATTACATATACAATGTCACGAATGTAGTAAATTAGTATTGACTTACATGTACTAATGATACTTACACCCAAACGTACATGACATTATACTGGTGTTAGCACTGTTTCAATTGGAACTTAATCTACAGAAATTTAAACATGCATAAGTCTTAAAATTTAAGATTGCTTATATTTAAACAAATGACTTTACTTGAAAGCAATTTGGTTTCAGCACCTGATTTTTTTAGTATCTTCCGCTTGAAATTTAAATTGAATTGATCAGCAGCAAGAAAATTGGGTGTAATGAGAATACTGAAAAAGAAAATGAAGCCAGGGTCATTTAACACCAGTGATATTGGCAGAAACAACCTATTATGGCTCTTATGCTTTGTTAATTGACAATCAAGTCACAAAAACTTTTATTTGTGGTTAATTCAATTGAAAAATTGGATTAAGGTGTAGTTTTATGTACCAGTCTGACACAGGTTCTTAGTGAAGCATCTATAAACTTGATACATTGGTCTATATGTTCTCCTTTCTTAGAGATTTTAGAAGTCATTGAACAATGTGAATTAGGTCAAGGAAAATATAATTACTCCTCAACTTTAAAAAAAAACCCAGAAAATAAGAAAAAAAAAACATTAGTAGCGCCAGATGGATATGAACTTGCAGGATATGGAAATAGAAAATTTTACAATATTACATGTGATCAAATTTTACTAATTGCACTTCTGTAAGCAATAAAGATTCTAGTGTATTATGTTGGTTGCTAAATACAGGTATGTACTGTTAGGATATAGTTCAACAGTTTGGAAAAAAAAGTAAAATATATTTTGGCAAATTATTATTTTCTTTCTTTTCTCAAACTGTTTTATCAGTCAAAAATAAGCTTCATATTTTTCATTTGCATATATTTTTTTTAATATTTCATTTTAGAGAAGAATACCAAAAAGAGACTGAAGAAACAGCAGAATTCATTTTCTAATTCTCTGAAACAATCACAGGAGAAACCAGACAAACATTTGGTAGAGAACCCATACAAGTACTGGTCAGATTTGTACAAAGATGCTGAAATGATATCATGGCAAAGGTTTGTATACCTTTTACATGAGCGAATCAAGTAAAAAATGACGGTAGATATGTAAATTGTGAGATTACATATTTTACACAATACATTTCATACGTTTTACCTGTGAAGAATTTCATAATTTATATACACATGAGTAAATGGAGATGTGGAGGTGTATGTCAATAAGAGAGAAACCCCATTGAACATAGTAATACCAAAAATGAAGGAAAATGTATTTAATACCCTTCAAATCATTGTGTCATTTTATTAGATATAGTACTTAAACAACAGATGAAGAACAGCAATGAAAATTGTCACAATAAAATTGTTTTACAACTTTAACCAAGTTTTGGTCAAAGTTTATGTTGGAAACTAATGAAAAATTTCCCACTACCGATGACTTTTACAAATAGATGGATGGACAGTCTTTTTTGTGTGTCCTTTCTCAACCAATACATACTGAAATTACCTCTTTATTGATGTTAGTTATCAAATTAGAAATGATGAAACTACAGTACAAATTATTTTATGTATCCCTGATATTAGATTTATAACAGACTTCACAAGAATTTTTCAATCAAAGATGGATGCTTTATTCACTGGAGAAGACAAAGAATGGTTAATGGCCAATCTATACAGTGAAATGGAAGATGAGGATGAAGATGATGAAATGCTACTCAAAGAAAACTTCATTAGTAAATATTTTCCTGAGTCGTAAACAGATCAGACAAAGCTATCAAATAAAGATGAAAAATTGTGGGTTTATGTTTAAGATAAAAAGCCACAATTTTTCTTCTTTATTTGATAGTTTCCCTGGACTGTGTGTCTTTAAAAACTTAACCTTTTAAATATCATAGGTTTGAAAAATTTCAACTTTTTCAGCTACATTTTCATCAGATGGCATTTATTTATTTAACACCTTGTTAAGTTTTCAGTTCCAATCCATTACAATTCAGTTGTTAATTGCATACATACTGAATCTGTGCACCAGATATAATGGGATTTTTTCAGAATTTTTTTCATTTTTCTGAACTTTCTACAGAGATACATTTTGTGTTTTTAATATTTTATGCAGTTTTTAAAAAATGAAAACAACACTTTATAAATTTTGTGGATTTACCTTCAGGAATGCTCATAGCTTGAATGTCAAGGATGTATAAGAACTGAAACAGTTGAAGAACTATATGACCAAAAAGGACATAAATATAATATCCAAATACATCTTAGGTCAACTTTTCCTGAGGAAGTTGAAACCTTAGTTTCTGATTTTTGTCAAGCCAAAGCCTATCAATTTTACAGAATGCTTATTTATATATTGAAGCATCCATACATTTTAGCAATATTTTTAAAAGACAATATATTTGGTAAAGTATAAAACTTATGCTGAAATATTTAATGAAATGATTTTAATTTGATAGTTCAAAATATTTAAAACAGCATCCAAAACAAGCATTCTCCACTGATTTGGAAGGTAATTTATTTACACCCATTTCAGTGATTGACCCATGGGTACAGAATATTTTATTAGGTCTTGTTCATTTGACTATGCTTCACATGATAAAAATTCTCATCTCATGCTCAAATTCATCAGGAGATAAGAAAAAATGCAGTTTCATTTGATTCTGTAATGTATTCATTTATAAAATGCTACAGTAAAATATATCTTTTACAAATTAAATGTCAAATTATGCTTCTGATATAAGACAAATTTTACACATGTATATAGGCGTTAATGAACACCACATTTATAAAAATAAAGAGATGTGGTATGATTGCCAATGGGACAAACTTCTGCAAAAGACCAAAAGGACAAGGATGTAAACAACTAAAAACATAAACAGGGCATGCACTGTAGTGCCTTCAACAATGAGCAAAACCATATCCCGTAAAGTTAGATATACCATTTTTGTGCATTTACTCTTTTTTGGATTTTCACTCCTCAGGTATACAAATTATTCCTGTAATTCTTTTTTATATTATCAAAGAAACATGTGTTTTTATGACATAAAGAAAGGAAACTTTATGGAATAAGTACATTACTATTACTTTCAGATTTTTGTAAAGTAGATGAAGAAATACAACCATTATGGCCCCGAGTTGAAGACCATACGAGAGAACTGTATGCAATGAGAGAGGTATTTGATATGGACTCCTCTGTCAGACTGGAAGCTATTCAAAATTTAGGTATGTTTAAATATATTTAAATTTATACTGCAATTTTTATCTTGAACATTAAAATAAAGAATCAACCAAAATAGTAGAATATTAACCACTATTATAAAAAATAAAAAGGAGATGTGATATACTACAATGAAACAGCAACCCAATGGCACAATAAAACAAAGGAGATCAAGAGGTCATCCTTAACAATGGACAAGTGTCTTAACAATATCTTAAACTCTAAACCTAGAAACCCTGAGTATAGAAAAGTTAGGAATTCATTTACATGTAATAGAGATTATCAAAATTTTGCTTACTTACAACTTACAATTCCTGTTAGCATCATTTGTTGCATAGGACACAAATGGAAGCCTTCTGCCTGAGTCTGTCTGCTGCTTGATGTTGTGCGTCTCTCCAAATTCTCCATCCATTGTCTGTTCTTTCTTCGTCAAAAATTTGTCTTTAAGTTTCCTTAAGCCTTTCTACTTTTCTCTTTCATGGTTGAGTCAACGGCAAGGTGGTCCTGGTCTTCATAGTTTTCTTAGTTTGTTTTGTTATAAATTACGCCGTTAGTTTTCTCAATTGAATTGTTTTATATTTTCCATGTCAGGGCCTTTTATAACCAACTATACGGTACAGGTATTTTTCATTGTTGAAGGCCGTATGGTTGCCTATAATTGCTTACATCCACTTCATTTGAACTTTGGTGGATAGTTGTCACATTGGCAATCATACCACATCTCCTTATTTTTATATTTGTGATGCTGCACATGTTGGCTCTTTGCAGCACTTCTGTGTTGAAAGTAGCTCACCAAATTATCTTGAAAAACGACCAAATTATCCTAAATATTCTATGTTTCTTGTCATAAAGGTGTTTAGTTTGTCTCAATCTGTCTCACCTATCTTTCAACATTCTGCCCCATATAACAATACTGATATTACTTTGCTTTTGTATTTTTGTATTTTGGTATTTCTACTAAATTGGTTCCATGCCCATATTTTTCTTAGCTTGTAGAATGCTGCTCTTGCTCTGTAACTCACCTGCATTAAAAGGCCATGTGAGCTTTTGCAACCACTTGGCATCTATCGTCATCTGATTCCATCCGTCCATCCGTCATCATAAACTTTTAAAAAAAATGTTTTCATCTGAAACTACTGGGCAAAATGTCACTAAACTTGACTTGAATGTTCCCTATCTTGTTTTAAAATTGTATCCAGGGATTGGATTCATCGACAAACATGGCTGCTGTTGCTACAAATAGAACATAGGGTTAAAATCCAGTTTTTAGCTTAAAACAGATAGAGCAAATCGGATAGAATTTGATGTGTTGTTTTTTTTTGGGGGGGGGGGGGGGGGTTTGGGAAGGGGGTTGCTCCTAAGAATTAGGAAGTAGAGGACCTTATTTTGACACTATAATTTTACCTTTACTACATTTTTTTCTGTGTTTAGAGGGGTGCACTCCAATCTTTTTTTGCTTAATTTTGATTTGTAATTTTTAAATAATTATTGTATTTTTTGTTTATAGGGAAATTTCAAAGCACTACTGTGATTAATGCCTTAAGAGACTTACTTAGAAGTACATCCTCAAATGTTCGTGCTGTAGCAGCAGTTTCATTGGTTAAAACTGGAGACAAAGATCCATCAACAGTCGACAATCTGATGAAGTGCCTGAATGATAAGGATCGTTTAGTAAGAGAGGCAGGATGCTTGGCATTAGGTCAGCTCCATGCCAAAAAAGCAGTACCCAAACTTTTACATTTATGGTAAATATATATTGTATTTTTCGTATTGTTTCTGTATTTTACAGTGAAGTTTTAGACATTGTGAAAGTATTTGTTTTAATTATAGAGTTTTTCCAGACTGTACCAAAAACTCTAAATTCAATAATTGGATTACTCATTCCTGTTTATTTAAAAAAAAAAAAAGAGGTTTTCATCACAGATGAATATTTAATATGGGAGATAACTCTATTAGCCCAAGCTGTGTTTTCATTGATCATAATATCTATCATTAAATTCTCCCTCGCTCGTTCAAATCAAAAGCATTTCTTTACTAAATTCCTATGTATAAATATGACAAAACTCTAATATAGGTTTGGTTGCTCGCAGTAACTTTTCTCTTGCAAACAATGTTTAATAACATAATATTATAATATAAATGAACAACAATATTCAAATTGACATATGCATACAAGAAAATTGTCCAACACAACCTTATATATAAATGAACTCAAACTCTATATGATCCATATTTATATATATGACAATAAACGGTAAACTGTACGTTGTAGTTACTGTGAGCACCTTCGATGAACTGACACCTCAACAATTTCTTTTTTTAATATAACGGAACCCCACCCTTTAATCTGCCAAAGGATTTCATGTGCATATATAACCAATATATCTAAATCCAAAATAACAATAACCTGTTTTACAACTTCTCTATTAAACCAGTATGAATATATATATCACTATATTTAACGCAGGGGAAATCCCTATAGTCAAACGAAAAAAAATATATAAATTTTGTTGTTCAGGCAACTTTGAAGTATTTTTTCTGCAGCTGTTCATTTTGTATATGTTGCACATGTTCATTTTCTTATTGCTGATAGACCATTTACCTTTATTTTCAAAACATTTACTAACTGAGTAGTAAATATGAAGACAAAGTTTTCTCACATAAACACGAAAGGAAAACGGAAACAGTGAAGACATTTTTGTTTTGTACAGCAATTTTTCAATTTTCTTTTAAAAATGTCTATTGGGGATTTAATATGTTAGAGAAAAAAAAAAGTCCTCTGTTGATGACATAAATACTTGCTTGTTTTTTTTAGGGGACAGGATAATAGAACAGATATAAGTTAAATTTGATTTTTGATTTTGTTGTTGAAACATTCAAGATTTTAATAAAAATAAAAAAGTACCAAATCTTGGACCATAAATAGGAATTTAAAAAATCTTTATTCTACCACTGCATCAAGTGTGATACAATATGTCTACTATTAAGACATAAAAAGGAGGAGCTATGATATCACCTATTATTTTTTTTTTAAATGAACATATTGATAAAATATTGAAACTTTAGTGCAAAACGGTCACATGTTCATGGTAAAGTTCCTCTTTTTGGGTATAGCCTTGGCTCATATCTAAATTATAATGACAAGATCTTAAAATAAGGCTATTAAGCCAGTATTTACAGTTTTGCAATAGATGCAAGAATTTTAAAGCTCAAATTCAAATATGTAAGACAAAATCCTAAAATATGTAAATAAAAAACAAAAATACTGATGATTGACAGCTGTCTGGTGAACATCTGAAGGATGTTATTTGGCCTATCAATAAAACTTTTTAATTTTAAGAATTAGGAGGTAAAAATGAATAATCAAGATAAACAGCCATTTGGGAAGAATAAATTGGCTTAGAATGTTCCTTAAGTTAATATCATTCATATGTTCATTTTCAGGAGAAATGATTTTATTTCCCATGTGCGAGAGGCAGCCCAGGCATCTCTGGAACAGATAGGTGGTAAAGAGGTAGAAGAAGCAATGCATATTACCAAGGTCTTAGCTGAAGAAATTAGAATGTTGACAGCTGAATAAACAATCAGTTTGTACTAGTAGTCACAGATATAACTTATAGTCTCAGGCTTTACTGTGATATTTATATCATATGTGTATCTGAATTAATTGTCTAGTTATTTTAAAACATTAGTTTTTTTAAATGTAAAACATGATAAATTTACACCTTATATATCTTACCATTTGCTTTGGTTACTATGCACTAGAGGTTGTTGCATGTGTCAGGTTATCTGATTTTTCAAAGGGTTATGTCCCCTGCATTGTAAAAGTGGGTAGTTCAGTTTTCTGTAAACTAATGTGACTTAATTGTGGTGAAGACAAAATTTGTGTGTTTTGGTTAAACAGTTAATCTAAGCTTCAAACGTGATGTTTGTTAAGTGAAAGTTTTCAGTGATTTGATTATTTTGAAAGATGAAAAATGAATAACTTTTATAACCCAAATAGATTTATAGTTGGTATATTTTGCCTACGTATCTACAATTCACTAGCAAGGCAATCAGCCTATTGAGGGTAGTAATTATTCAAGTTAAGGATGAATTTGATAAAATCATATAACATATTTAAAGAATTTTTCTTTATACATATTTTTCTTCTTACACTACGAAGGCAAATGAAATACATGACTGTATGTTAAATTTTATTTAGAGAAGAAAAATTACATGTAATGGCCATATTGGTGCTTATATTATCAAAATTTACATTTTAACCAATTGCTGTTAAATGTTGTTTGTAATTAATGATTGTTCTGAAAGTGGCATTATATAAATATCAATGTAAAAAGGTTGTATTCAGTTTGATTTTTTGTTCATGCTGGACCAACATATTAATTCTATTTTTGTAATGTATTAGAATAAGAATAACAGTAGTGGCTATAAAATTTTGTTCAGACTTTGAAGGCTTTAAAATAAACTATAATATATGTATATTTGTATGTATTGTTTTTTAATTTCGTTACAATAATTATCTGTGATATTTTTGTTTATTGAAACAGATCTGTTTTTATTTATTATATATTGTTGTACCTCAGATACAAATTTGCTCATTGAATATGCTTTTGCTTTGCATAAACAAGTTTTGAATTTTTGTTTGTCAGAATTAAATTGACATTTTTGTTGAGCCTGCAACATTTATGTTGCGAAAGCGAGACATAGTGATCCTAGATTCCTTAGTCGTCGACAACATTTAGGTTCAGTCTGTGGTAAAAGTTTTTTTTAGACATCAATAACTTTGTCAAACATTCATGGAATTTTAGAGAAGTTTGTACAGAAGCTTTTTTATGACCAACAGAATCCAAGCAAAATTTTGAAAATATTAATTTTCATTTTTGTCAACCTGTGACTTTTGTTGCAAAAGCGAGACATAGCGATCCTACATCCCGTTGTCGTCGGCGGCATCCACAAATATTCACTCTGTTGTTAAATTTTTTGAAATTTTAATAACTTTCTTAAACTATCCTAGATTTGTACCAAACTTGGACAGAGGCTTGTTTATGATCATAAGATAGTATCCAGAAGTAAATTTTGTAAAAAAGAAATCCTGTTTATCCATATTTTACTTATAAATGGGCTTAGTTTTTCTGCCAGTTAACATTACATTCACTCTGTGGTTAAAGTTTTTAAAATTTTAATAACTTTCTTAAACTATCCTGGATTTGTACCAAACTTGGACAGAAGCTTGTTTATGATCAAAAGATAGTATCTAGAAGGAAATTTTGTCCGGTTTTTCTGTATATTACTTATAAATGGACTTAGATTTTCTTCCAGTTAACATTACATACAGTCTGCAGTTAAAGTTTTAAAACATTTATTAGATTCATAAACCATCCTGGATTTTTACAAAACTTGGACAGAAACTTCTTACAATCAAAAGATAGTATCTAGAGGAAAATTTTTAATAATTTGTTCCCCATTTTTGTTGAGCCTGCGACTAACAACAAAAGTAGGCGAGACACTGTGTTCCACGGAACCCTTACAAATTTTTCCGTATTTTACTGATAAATTGACTTAGATTTTTTTACAGTTAACAAGTAGATACAGTCTGGGGTTAAAGTTTTTCGGTCATCAATAACTTTGTCAAACCTTCATGGAATTTTAATGGAATTTTATGAAACTTTAGCAGAAGCTTTTTTATGATTAAGAGATAATGTCTGAAGCAAACTTTTGAAAATATATTTTTTTTCATTTTCAGCATTTTTCTGATAGATAGACTTAGTTTTTACAGTTAACATTTATAGACAGTCTGGGATTAAAATTTTTTGACATGATAAATTTGTAAACCTTCATGGATTGTTATGAAACTTGGACAGAAGCTAATCTTCAAGAACATGAAACAGCACCTAAAGAAAAATTTTGATTTTTTTTTTAAAATTCTGTATCAAACTGATAAATGGACTCACTTTATAAGTGAACATTACACTTTTACACTGACAGCAGCAATTGCAGGCAAGACACAGGGTTCCGCAGAACCCCTTACAAATTTTTATTAATTTATCTATTTCATATAACTCAGGTATTTTAATGAAAGATATTTTTCTTTATTTTTAATAGTATTTTCTTTTTAGTTCTATTTGTATATATTCTTCTGTTTGGTTGGAGGAATAGCTGCGTAAAATGGACATTTTAGTTGAACGAAAGGTTTCAGTGCCCATTAACTGAAGAAACAAACAAAACAAATGCATTTTGCTATTGTGCTCCTTTGAATGAAATTTCTGAACATTTTTAGTAATTGTAGATTATAAAATACGTGGTCAGAACATGTTAGGTTAATATTTTCTTTTAAGTTTGATTCCAATCTGAATTGACTAGGATGGTCAGTTTTTCTTCAGGTCAGTGGTTCTCTCGATGCACTCAGGCTTCTACCACCAATAAAAACTGACCGCCAGGATAAAGCCAAGAGTGTTGAAAGTGGTGTAAAACACCAACAATCAATTAATCTTTTAAGTGCTAAAGACATTAAATTATTATGTATTTATGATATTGGTTGTTTAATAAGTGGTGTGCTTCTTATGATGATCAGTATGGTTGAAATTATATATATTTTTTAAATTCTGCACGGTATATATTGCTGTCTTTCAAAAAAATTGTATATTGTACCAGAGTGTGTAGTATTTCCCGGATTTTAATTGTCTTTGTGTACATGGTATATCTTCCCCACACTATTGTGTTTATTCTGTTGGCGGAAAAAAATCTAGGAAAAAGCTGTCATGGAATTTCTATATTACATGTAGTCAATTTACTCAGAAAGGACAAAGTACACTGTTTCGAAAAGTAAGGAACAATCCATATTTTATTGGCATCATGTGCATGCTATTTTGTTGACCAACCTCAGATAGAGTGCACAAGCTTTTCATTCTTTAGTTGTTTCTACATCGAGTAAAAGTATGTTTTTGCTTGATTTCATTTTAATTTGATGAAACATTCCTCAAACACATTATTTAAATGGATTGTAATTTGAAATCAATTCCCTCCAATAATGATTTTCAGACAGTTATATAACAGAATTTGTTTCTGGGTGCAGTAAATTGTTTGTTTTGTATGAAAAGCAGTCTCTTTTTCCACCCATGATATTCAGCCAAATATCTACCATATTCCCAATGCAATACTGGCCTCTTTTTAAAATTTATCCTTTTTTCCCATTGAGTGTTTGCCTAAAACCTCTATCACAGTCTATCACATCATCTGTAGAACATGGCATATTTCATTAAAATATCTTGTGTTTGGATTGTTTAAATTCATTGTACCAAACTTTTTACAGCAAATTTTGTAACCTTAGGGCATATACCAAATTATGGATCATATAAATTAACTGGTCTTTGAATGACATCTAGTTCCTTGTGAGCAAAGGAAAGATACAAGCTGTTTTTCATTCCCAAGCCATAATAAACCAGTCCATGTGATCAGGTGATAATAAATTCCTATTTTAAGAAAGCATGCAGGTCATTGTTTGAAATAGCATCATAAGAGCAAATTTATATTCCATCAATTAATCAAGTAAGAAATATGGTGCAATAAAAAAAAGGTCTTGCCAAGGTACGTGGGTGTCTTAGGACCCCAAAGACACGATTACCGTAACCATTGTGTGTTTTCATTGACAGTTCAGCCGACTAGCTTTGGACAGACTGCCATAAAATTACTATTAAAAACTATTAAAGACTAGATTCTGATAAAAGTTTGACTTTTAAACATTGAAAACTTCATGACCCAAAATAACCCCTGTGAGACATCTTAGCTAAGGGCTTGCATGGACTCTTATACATGCATATGTAAATGTATATACTGTTAATTCAGAAATAATTGCGTGCTTTTATTATTGCAATTTTTGAAGAATGGACATAAATGCAAAATTAATTATTGCGAATTCAGGAAAAGCTGCATGCAGATATATCAATCAGATATCAGAATGTGAGTTCTTATTTTTGCAATATGCGACCAGTCGCATTATTCGCAATAATTTCTGAATTTACAGTAGCGTATTGAAATTCAACAGAGAGTCAACATCAGTATTCCAAGATTCTGGCTTATTGCCATTGCAGAATATTTATTTTGCACACACTTTGATATTGATTCTTGTATGGGCAGGCTTATTTTTATCACCCTGGAAGAGTTATAGATTCATTCCTTAACCTTTTTCAATTTCTTTGATGAAGGAAAGAGAATCTTCCAATGGCGATATTTCTACGCAAAACATTCAGGCTCTTGGCTCCTTTTTATTTTTGTTGTCCAGCTCCAGGTTCACATCATGGATTCCTGGCTCCTTTTAGCAATGTTTGTTGGTTCTGGGTTCCACTACTGATAGGGCTTCTTGCCTCCAATTTTAGGACTACTGGCTTAAGTATTAGGACACTGAGCTCCAGAGGTAGCAAGATCTGGGCTTTAAAGGAACTGGTAGAGCCAATGTTATTTCCACAACTTATAGCAATTTAAACAACAGCATGCCACTTGAAATTATCAGAGTTTCACCAAATTACTTAACTTTTTTTCTGAATTCCCATGGGGAAAAATAGTGTACTGATTTTTTATACCACGTTTTGTTTGAATATCAAGTGTCAGTTAATCATTGTAGTTTGTTTTTAATATATAGATATTTAGTATGAAATTATAAATTTTTTTTCACAGTGCTGATTTTTAGGTAGGGTCGCACTGTCATACAAAAGCATCATCTATGAAGTACTTCATTTGTTTTTTATGTATTTATTAAGACTGATTTATTTACAGTTTTACAGTTTATTTCGTATAAAAAAAAAAATAATTGGTCATAATAAAATAGTTTTCTTTCACAAGTCTTTATTTTCAATTATGCATTTATGACATCAATCATTTGTAATGGTTAAGCAACCAACAATCAATCAATCATTTGTAATGTTCCATATTTTTAACATATTTGATATGTTCCTTTTTTGAAATTGATATGTTCCAGTTTTTATACGACCGCAAAAAAATTTTGCGGTCGTATATTGGTATGACGTTGGCGTCGTCGTCGTCCGAAGACACATTGGTTTTCGCACTCTAACTTTAGTTTAAGTGAATGGATCTCTTTGAAATTTTACCATCAGGTTCAATACCATAAAAGGAAGGCAGGGATTGATTTGAGGGGTTATGGTACCAACAGTTAAGGAATTAGGGGCCAAAAATAAGCATTTTTGTAACTTCCAGACATAACTTGTGTGTTGGTGTATAGATCTCTCTGACATTGTACCACAAGGTTCCATATCACAAAGGAAATGCTTGGATTGATTTTGGGGGTGATTGCCTCAAAATTTGAGGAATAAAGGGGCCAAAAAACAAGCATTTTTTCTAGTTTCATGCATATGACAATAACTTGTGTGTAAGTCTATGGATCTTTCTGAAATTGTACTACAAGGTTCCATTTCACAAAGGGAAAGCTGGAATTGAGTTTGGGGGTAATTGCCCAAAACGTTTAGGAATAAGGGGCCAAAAAGGGGCCAACAATAAGCATTTTTCTAGTTTCCAGACAATAACTTGTGTCCAAGAGCATGGATCTCTCTGAAATTGAAATGCAAGGTTCCATATCACAAAGGATGTGCTTGGATTGATTTTGGGGTTAATTGCCTCAAAATTTTAGGAATTAGGGGCAAAAAAAGAGGCCAAAAATAAGCATTTTTCTAGTTTCCAGACAATAACCTGTGTTCAAGTGTATGGATCTCTCTGAAATTGTACTGCAAGGTACCATACCACAAAGGGAAGGCTGGGATTGATTTTGGGGGTAATTGCCTCAAAATTTAAGGAATTAGGGGCCAAAAAGGGGCAAAAAACAAGCATTTTTCTTGTTTCAGGACAATAACTTGTGTGTAAGTGAATGGATCTTTATGAAATTGTTCTACAAGGTTCCATATCACAAAGGGAAAGCTGGAATTGAGTTTGGGGGAATTGCCCTAAATGTTTAGGAATTTGGGGCCAAAAAGGGGCCAAAAAACAAGCATTTTTCTAGTTTCCAGACAATAACTTGTGTTCAAGTGTATGGATCTCTCTGAAATTGTACTGCAAGGTACCATACCACAAAGGGAAGGCTGGGATTGAGTTTCGGGTGATGAATCATAAGGGGGTTCAAAAAATTGGGGGGGGAATTATTTTTCTTTTTTTTTCTTTAATATTTTCCATTTTAAATTGGTTATTTCTGATTTATATATAAAAGCAAATAATAATAATATGGTTTGAATAGGTAAATTAAAATTTTTTAAGATCTTAGACCACATTCATTCTGTGTCAGAAACCTATGCTGTGTCAAATATTTAATCACAATCCAAATTCAGTGCTGTATCAAGCTTAAATATTGTGTCCATACTCAACTGTTCAGGGTTCGACCTCTGCGGTCGTATCAAGCTGCGCCCAGCGGAGCATTTTATTTGTACTTGATATGTTCCTGTTTTCTGTACCTGATATGTTCCAGTATTTTGTACTTAACATGTTCCTGTTTTTATACGACTGCAAAAAATATTTGCTGTCGTATATTGGTATGACGTTGGAGTCGTCGTCGTCTGAAGACACATTGGTTTTTGCACTCTAACTTTAGTTTAAGTGAATGGAGCTCTATGAAATTTTACCAAAAGGTTCAATACCACAAAAGGAAGGTTGGGATTAATTTTGGTGGTTATGGTACCAACAGTTAAGGTATTAGGGGCCAAAAGGGGCCAAAAATAAGCATTTTTGTAACTTCCAAACATAACTTGTGTGTTAGTGTATGGATCTCTCTGACATTGTACCACAAGGTTCCATATCACAAAGGGAATGCTGGGATTGATTTTGGGGGTAATTGCCTCAAAATTTTAGGAATAAAGGGGCCAAAAAACAAGCATTTTTTCTAGTTTCATGCATATGACAATAACTTGTGTGTAAGTCTATGGATCTTTCTGAAATTGTACTACAAGGTTCCATTTCACAAAGGGAAAGCTGGAATTGAGTTTGGGGGTAATTGCCCAAAACGTTTAGGAATAAGGGGCCAAAAAGGGGCCAACAATAAGCATTTTTCTAGTTTCCAGACAATAACTTGTGTCCAAGAGCATGGATCTCTCTTCACATTTCACATACATCAAACAGGCCGTTTAACCAGGGACATAAATACACAAATATTCTGCACATTTTTCCTGTGATAATCTACTTTTCTCTAGATTCCGAGTTCACAAATGGTTAATTAAATTTGATTTAAGCATAGAAACACAAATATCAGGAACATAAAAAGCTGTCAGATAGAAAGTCAGCATGGCTCTTAGGCATAAAATGGAAACTGCTTTAAAATGCTTATTTTAGCCGTATAATGCCAAAATGCTTATTTTAACAGAATTTCTGTCAAACAAAGATGTAAATCCTTTACTTTTATTGAGTTTGACAAATTGAAACCAGCAAACCATTCAGGAAAGTTGCCAAAGTACAGAATCTACATTTACGGAATTCATCTCTTAGGCCCGAGAACACAGTTATTTCGTAGTGCATTTCTTTTAGACAGTAAATTCAAATTCAAAAAAAATCGCACCTGCTCTATCTCAAAAAGATTTTTACAGTGTAGTGTACTACTATTGATACAAATAATATCAAAATTATAGAAACTTCTACCAGCTCTAACTCAAAATATTGACAATTCTGTGTTAAGGGGGGCTAAAATTCAGTTTGACAGCTTCAGCTAATTTTTGACCTTTTTTAACTGGACCAAATCACTACTTAACATAAAGATTCAGCACCCAAATTTTTTTAACATGTAATTTCATCCCCTTACTTAATATTTCATGCATAAAATATCAAGAAATAAATTGGGAAAGTGTATCAAAAAAAATGCAAGTTATACACTGTTCACACTAGGGACTATATTTGTAGACAACGAAAACCAAAGGACGATAACTGTGTCCTTGGACCAGCTGGAATTGAGTTTGGGGGTAATTGCCCAAAACGTTTAGGAATGAGGGGCCAAAAATAAGCATTTTTCTAGTTTCCAGACAATAACTTGTGTTCAAGTATATGGATCTCTCTGAAATTTTACTGCAAGGTACCATACCAGAAAGGGAAGGCTGGGGATTATTTTGGGGGTAATTACCTCAAAATTTTAGGAATTATGGGCCAAAAAGGGGAAAAAAACAAGCATTTTTCTAGTTTCAGGACAATAACTTCTGTGTAAGTATATGGATCTTTATGAAATTGCACTACAAGGTTCCATATCGCAAAGGAAAAGCTTGGATTGAGTTTGGGGGTAATTGCCCTAAACGTTTAGGAATTTGGGGCCAAAAAACAAGCATTTTTCTAGTTTGCAGACAATAACTTGTGTTCAAGTGTATGGATCTCTCTGAAATTGTATTGCAAGGTACCATACCACAAAGGGAAGGCGGGATTGAGTTTGGGGGTGATGAATCATAAGGGGGTTCAAAAAATGGGGGGGGGGGGGGGTTATTTTTTTTTTCATTTTTTTTCTTGTTTAAAATTATCCATTTTAAATTGTTTATTTCTGATTTATATATAAAAGCAAATAATAATGATATGGTTTCAATAGGTAAATTAAAAAATTTTAAGTTCTGTGTCAGAAACCTATGCTGTTTCAAATATTTAATCACAATCCAAATTCAGAGCTGTATCAAGCTTGAATGCTGTATCCATACTTGCCCCAACTGTGGTGGTTTGTTATTTTTATCAAACTACAAATTAACATCAAATTGGATGTCAATGCAAACACCTAAAATTCTTAGTTTGGTGCTGGGTTTTTGCTTGGTTTTTTTTAGAAACTACATTTTGTACATATTGGGGCGATAGAAGTTGAGAGCAGACAGGTCTTGTAATAGCACTGGCTGAAGATAAATAAGAAAATGTCTCCAGTACTGATTATTTTTGGGTTTATTGCACTTGAATAAACAAAATAGATAAACAAAAATCATCAAAATATATCATTTAAAATGTAATCAATGAAATATTGTTTAAACAGTTTACACACTTAATTAATCATTTATGTTCTGTGCTGTTTCTTACTGAATACATGGCAGCACCAGTTGCAGAGTCACAACTGTTGCCAAATTCTACTGTTAACTTCCCATAATACTTTACTATTTCCTGTCTCATGACCTCATTTCTGGAAAGCAAGGATCCTGACCCAATCAGCTTGTTTATTCCATTTTTCTCCAAAAATGAAACTGGCATCATATTTGACACATTATCTAATAGGCCACAACATACCGATCTAAATAAAGTTCCAAGATCAAGATTTTCAGCACTGATACCAGTGACAGAAGCTGAAAGCTGAGGATCATGTCTTTCTCCAAAAAGTGTAGGTGTGACTTTCAAAGTTTGTGAATTTAGCTTGTTGATAGAAAGATCCATCAGAGTGTCCCATACTTTATCATCTTCTATATTACAACCTGAAATAAAACGAGCAAAATTTTTAATAAGCTTTATATATGAGCTGCATCAGATAGAAATCGACCTTATGCCAATGAATATCAACACATCTGTTAACCTATTTTGGGTTGAAAAAATCTCTACAGAAAGTCTTTAATTGTTTGAAAATTGAGTTGTTATAAGAACCCTACAGAACAGACCAAAATTCATTTTTTTTTTTTTTTTTTGAATGTTCTAAAATCAATCAAAGTCTTATACATGTACATGTATATGTGCAATTTCAAAAGGTCGATTTCTATCTGATGCAGATATATATATATATTTATAAGTTATAGTGGTTGACAATGGGTTAATTCAGAAATTCAAACTTGGCCCCTAGTAACGTACATTGCGCATTCTCTGTGTCCTCGATGGAAAATTTTAAAAATACACAATCACTTCTGTTTTCTCTTTTAACAACTGTACTTTTGAAATATAATTTATGTAGGTGATTGATAGATTTTCTACACTTCAAAATATTGATTGATTGTTGTTTATTGCCACTTTGAGCACTATTATGTTAGTCAGTTTTTATTCATGGAGGAAGCCAGAGTGCCCAAAGAGAACCATTGACTTTTGGCTGGAAAACTGACAATCCAAGTCAATTAAGATTGGAGTTGAACACTCCTGCCATAAAAACCTCAGTGTTGACAAGCTAGTGATACGGTATATGAAATATGTAGACCATCACTGAGGCCCCTCACTCCAAAATAATTGTTGGATTTAACATCTGTTAATTTCAGACAATATACTCGAAAAATGTATCTTAATTTATTATTACTAAATATTTAAATATTTTAGAGTAAATGTTGACATTTTATCCACTTTAGATAAATTAGATGATTGATTGATTGATTTTTGGTGTTTAACACCACTTTAATCACTATAGGCTATTCCTGGCGGCCAGTTTTCATTGGTGGAGGAAGCTGGAGTGCCTATAGGAAACCACCATGAACCTTCGGCAGGAAAAACTGGCAATCCTAGTCAATAAAGATTATAGTCCAAAGCACCTGCCATGTGTGGGATTCAAAGTCACAATCTCAGTATTTCAAACTATTGGTACAGTAGGTGAACTACTTAGACCACTTTGCCAGCAGTGCCCAAGATTGATTAGAAAGAACATGAATATCCCAGTAAAAGGTAACCATAAATCATGCTATTGTAGTCCTTTTACTTTATTTGTGCATTAAGGTTTTTTAATCATAGCTCATTTATATCATACCAAAACATTTCATCCATCCTCGAAGCATGGAAACAAAATTAGCCAAAACATTTCCACCATTTAAACTTGCAGCTATTGCTAAGTAACTGTCTTCAAAGTATGGAAAGTACTGTACTGGGCACATGCTGTCTGCTTTCAAGGGAAGTAACTCCTCATTTCTAACAGGAAAAGCAAGTTGACAAGATGTACTGATATTTATTACTGAAAATAAACACAGATACAAAAAAATTATTATATATAACAATATAAACTTGACTTTTAAAAAGAAAAAGGTCTTTCCCAGCTCAAGAATGTTGAATGTCTATTTGGTGAATTTTTGTCAACTCATTAATGTTGGTTTGCTGCCTAATTGACTTTTGGAAAGAACTTACCTTTATTCATATTTACTTCTGTATTTATAATGGCATAGCATCTGGTTTGGTTAAGGACACACCGCTTTTTAGGGTTATCACTTTATTACGAACAAAATGAAGCATTTCCACTGAGTAATCTCCTCTTGGTCAAGGTATTTAAACTTTTGTCAGTTCTATTGTCCCATTGATTAAATACAATAGCTATTGTTCTCTGTGTTGTTTGTTCACTGAGACCTTTAAATTTCTTCTAAGAGAAATCCATCACTCATTGATTAATTTACCCCTGTAAAAAAAATATCTTCAAAAGTAGATGAAAATACATGTATCAAATAAAAAAACTGTATGCGATGTTATGTTTTTTCAATATCAATAATATTTTTTCAATCTGTTCAATGTAAACACTGATTCAAACATTAAAAGTTGATTTCTGATAAAATTTTCAACATTGTTCCCATTGAAATTTTGTTTTTGTGTGTTCGACAAATAAAAACTGGAAAATGACAATGTTTAAATTAAGACCTTCTTAAATGTATTCTATAACTAAACAAATAAAAACTGCAAATTTCAACAACAATGCTAAAAATTTTGTCAGAAATTAACTGTTTACATTGAACAGATTGAAAATATATAATTAATATTGAATAAATACAACATCACATGCAGATTTTGGAGTTGATACATGTATTTTCATCTATTTAGAAGATAATTTTTTTATTCAGGTAAATTAATCAATGAGTGATGGATTTCTCTTAGAAGAATTTTAAAGGTCCCAGTGAATATACTACACAGAGAACAATATAGCTATTGTATTTGTACAATGGGACAATAGAACTGACAATTTATCAAATGGGGGTGACTCTGGAAATGTTTCATTTGGTTCGCAATAATATAAAAATAAAAAATAAATTAAGCATTCATGATCCTGAATTTAAAAAAAAACTTCTACTTTTCACAGAAACTACTCAAGTGAATTATTACTTAAGTCAATAGGCAACAAACATTTAAACAAACCTGCATCTTGTTGTGACTTAAGAACAGAATACACAGCACACTGTACATCACCAAGAGCTGCTAGAACAGTTACACCTGGTTTGATTCCACACCATTCCTGTTGTAAAGTGCCTGCTTTATGACCAGGACAGACAACATAGGGTAACAAATCAATATGCAATCCACACTCTGTCAACCTATCAATATTTCAATATGATAGAGGAGAAAATAAAGTGAAAAGAGATTATTATATAGCTTTTACAACGCAGACTTAGAATTTAAAGGTGTTCACAAAAAAATTGAAGTAAAGTAAAGAAGAGGGGTGCTGGTTGCAAGGATGTTCTAATTATTTAATAGAATAATTGAATAGTTTCCTTTAAGTATAATTTTGTATATAATTCATATGGACTAAAATGTGTTCCAAAATTCCTGTGTTCAAGAAAAGGAAGTTGTTATGTAAAAAAAAAACACAACCGAGGCCTCCATGACTGTCTACAGTCTCAACTTTTCTAAAATAATCTATCGATTGTGAGGCATAAAAAAATGGAATGCCTAGATTAGATTACTCTACATCCATTTAATAAGTTACATGTATCAGTAAATACAATGTACTTGTACAAGTCTTACCCCTAACTGAAAATAAAAAGTAATAGTTCATGGTCCACTTGGGAATGAGGAGCATAACTAAAATTGCTTTCCTTTTACTTTAAATTAATCAAAATGTAATATATGTGATAGTACACTATTATATTATCTTATTCTTATACATTTACTAGTACAAGATATTTCAATAGTAGCCTTAACTTCCAAATCTAAAATCTATAAATTTCTTCAATTGAGGTATATTATACCCACTGTGAAAAGTTCCATGACATTTCCCTGGTGTTAAAATATCCCCAACTTGCTGCCAACTGTACTGATGTAATTGGTTTATCCAATCCACACAACCCTGCAACCAGAAAATCCATTACTGTACCACTATTTCCAAATTGACACAAAATTTCGGGACGATGCTTACTCAACCATAAAATTGTGGCACATCCATATCCTGTTGACAGCGGTAGGTGAGAGTCAGGTTTTGGAAGAGACAACAAAAATTCTGAAGAACATCTCTGGTCTTGCCATGTATACAAATTGCTACAGTTATCTCCCCCTACATTTTCAAACTGAGTTGTAAAATTTGGTTTCACTGCTAGTTCTGACCACAACATAACACCATGCATTTGTCCAGTAATGCATATTGTATTGATCAACTGCTTTTGTGGGGCTGGAATTGTTTCTAAGCATTGTTTTAAAGTTTTCAAGATAAGAATTGGATCTTGTTCTGAGCCTTTACTACCAATATCACTAGGGATTTCTGCATGACTAGGTTTTGATATGGAGTGTAATACTTCCATTTTATCACCATCAATTAAGCATGTCTTCACTGAGGTTGTTCCCAGATCTATGCCTAGGCATAGTTTACTTTCTTTACAATCCATAGTGTCATCAAAATGTCCGAACTTTAACCATATATTTCATATACATGTATGAAATCTGAAAAAAATAAAGCATATAATCATAAATTTAATCTTCATAACATTTAAGTTATACAAACAAGAAAATATAAATTGCTACATAATTTTATGTGTATCAATATCTATACTTTCTGAGTAAAAATTATCAATACTAAGACTTCCTGTTTTAAAAGTTTCTCAAAAATATTGAAATAACAAGTATACAAACAAAGATATCTCCTTTTATTCATTTAATAACAATGGAATGGAATATGAGCAATAAAAATCTCTCAATTTGTTTCACTCATTGGGTCAAAATAAGAAAGTTTATTCAAATGATGACAGGTAAATGATTGATGATTTGAATATCAAAATACTTTACCCATTTTTCAATAATTTTACAAATACATATGCATAAATTAATTAAAGAACCTTTGTAAGACTCATAACTCCTACAAAAGTCAACTGATAAAAATTTCTTGTGGATATGCACATATACATATAATGTCCTTATTATCTACCAAATTTATTAGAATTCTGTTGTGTGGTTTCAGAAGAGTTGCCATTTTCAAACTGTTGCAGTAGTATATTTAGGCCATAACTCCCAGAAAAAAAATTGAATCATAATTTCCTGTGGATATGCACATCTACATAGTATGTCCTTATTATCTACAAAATTTCATGAAATTCAGTTGAGTGGATTCAGAGGAGTGGTGATGACAAATTGTTGCAGTAGTATATTTACGTCAAAATTTTTAAGTTCAAAGAGGCATAACTCCTAGAAAAAGAATTGAATCATAACTTCCTGTAAATATGAACATCTACATAGTGTGTCCTTATCATGTATAAAGTTTCATGAAATTATGTTGTGTGGTTTTAGAGGAGTTGTGATGACAAGAACAGGACTGACAGACGAATGGACAGACGGGTCAAAAACATTATACCCTACGGAACTTTGTTCCGTGGAGTATAAAAATATTATTATCAGGGTCTGGATGGGGTTTATAGAATAAAGAATAATGAGCAAAATAAATAAAGAATAGAGAATAATAGGGTGCTGAAGTATAAAGATTAACTGTTGAAAATTAAAAAATTAGGTAAAACTATACTGATTACAGAAATGAACAGTACATAAAAAAATTATATAATCATGATAATTACAGACAGATTTAAATTAATATCAAAATAATTTTCCAGAGAATTTTTCAGAATAAGCAATATTTTTAAAGATAAAGAAAAATGCCTTCAAAAATTAAAGAATACAGAAACGAAGGATACCCTATCCAGACTTTCATTAATTGCTTTACATTGCTTTTATAGAAAATTTTGATACAAAATTGCAAATATTCACAGGTTTTTGTAAAGTATTGCAATATATGACACCCATCAGATAATTTGTATCTGAATTAAAGCTTTATTTCTGGTATGATTTTGGTACAAACATGACCCTGTGAAAATGTAAATTCAATGTTTATAATATAATAAGTCACTTAAGAGTTCAATAGTCCCTGTGTGAAATTAATTTAGGTGAAATTGGTGACTTAATTACTCTTTCAAGTTCTAACAAGTTTGTAGATTAGTGAATATATTATTTACCAGCATGATCTCAAACATTATAAAAAAAGAAAAATATAAAATATTTTTTTCATTTCAAATATCAAAAGGATTTTCTTGTATATCTGTATTTTCTTCTACATGCTTTTAAACATTTTTTTTTTATAATTCAGCAATCAGTCTAAAACTATCAATAGTCTTAACTGATACATGTACAATGTAGTAACCAAGGTAGTTTCTGGCACTATTATACTAAGACTTAGTATAATAGTCCCAGGTAGTTTATATCAGAGACATTTGTATATATGTCTCTGTTTATATTAATCTAATTTATTTAAAATAGAAATCTTTCATTCACTTTTAAATGAATTATATATACATTTCATTTATAAAAAGAACACCTTTGAAATGGTAATCAATTACACTTAGTCATAGAGAGATTCAGTACATAGACATTGTCACTGGTTTGCAAATGTTACAGAAAATGTAAGTTAACATGTCGATTATCTCCCATTGTATTTGGGGCGATTTTAACTATACGCCCATCTCAAGTCCTGAGCCTTGCATACACTGTTAAAGTATTATAATTACTATTAATTTTCATGATTTAGCCATTTGGAATATTTTGGCAATAATGTGATTTGACACACTATATAAACAAAGTCACTTTTAACATGTAAGATCATGTAATAATTCCAAATTACCTTTTAAATTATCTCCCTGTGGTTCTTTACGATTAGACGTCCTTTAATCGGAGTAGATGTGGCGCCAGATTTTGAAATTTTAAATAATTATTTTACGCAAAATTTATTTTTAACCTGATCACTGATCTTTCAATTAACTAAAACATGTACAGCATTTATCATATCGTAGATAGCAGATAATAGCAGATGTAGTCCTATAACATGCGAAAATACTCAGTCAACTCTTCGTTGGCGTTTTTTAATACTCTTTATTATGATGATTCTTGTGTTGAAAACTTTGAGGAAAACGAAAATTTGTAAACAGCAAAACAAGATCAACAAAATAATTTTAGTCATGAATTATATTCTAGACTACTTGTAATGTTAGAGAGTGTTCATTGTTGAAGGTGCAAATATACACAGGGGAGCGACACTGGCTCTAGATCTACAGAGCTTCTTTTTTAAGAGTATCATATATTGTGTCATATGTAAAACAGGATCTGCTAACCCTTCCGGGGTACATGAGATCACCCCCGGTTTTTGGTTGGGTTAATTCATGTTGCTCAGTCTTTAGTTTGTTTATATGTGATGTTTTGTAGACTGGTGTTTGTCTTATCGTCGTTATCGTTTTTTGCCATGATTTTGGCAGTCTCTCTTCGACTGTTTAAGAAGTTTAAATTTTCTTTGGTATATTCTTACCTATTTTGTAATATACATATTACTTGAAATAAGTAAAGCAGTATAATTTATGTTTCATGAACAAGATGGGGGAAATTTTAACAGGCTCCTGTTAATTTTATAAGCAATTGAGTTTAAACAATGTTTACTTTTTTTGACTGGATTCCTGCTGGTCATAACTTTTTCTGTACGGACATAATTATGTGTTTTTTTTTTTTTTGACTAATTGATTATCATATTATTTATAAGATGACTGTGGTACTGAAGCTTTTTCCTATTCATGCTAGTAAAGTTATCTAATAAATTTACACATTATAACTACACGGGTATCTAAGTAAGAAATCATATACAATAAACCCTAAATCTCAGCGTATATAATACCAGAAGTCCATTACTACATTACTACAGGAAGTGTGCAACCCACTATATATAGCAAGAGATCATGATGTCCCCGTACTTCCACAATGAAGCTATTAAACCGAGAGTTCCAAGTGGCGAAGTTGAAACCATCTCTTCGTAAATTTTACGGACGCCACCACGAGTTGGTTGACCATTATGGATTATCTGTTTCACAGATGACGACGGATATGTTCCAATTGTCGTAACCACAATCCCGTCCTCTTTTCCCCGAATGTGACCTACCGAATTAGACTTATTACTGGATTTATTCTAACACGAGCAACACGACGGGTACAACATGTGGAGTAGGATATTCTTACCCTTCCGGAGCACCTCCGGTTTTTGGTGCAGTCTTTAGTTTTCTATGTTGTGTTTTGTGTACTGTTGTTTGTCTTTTGGTCTTTTTCTATTTATGTCATGGCGTTGTCAGTTTATTTTCGACTTATGAGTTTGAATGTCCTTTTGGTTTCTCGCCTCTCTTTTCCAACTGTGATTGGAAGTAAATTTGAACGAGATTTCTATCTATAATAACAAAAATATATGGGCAAAATGTTTGCAATGCATTCTCGAAAAATAGGTTGGAAAATTGTGCACTCATATATACAATACAAGAGCCACTGGATGCGGAATTTACCAACGAATCATTGTCTTTTTTAATCATACCTGTACACTTTGATGTCATTAATCGCCAATAGGTACCGAATAATACTTTGGAAAATACACTTTAGAAGTAAAAGCGTAGACGTAGTTTCGAAATTTATATTGGGAACCTACAATTAGGTCCTGGTGGACCAATAAATATATGTTCATAGGAAACGAATACCTCTGTCATTCAAATTCTCAATACATTTCTTCTGCGTTGCAATATTACGTTAATGTAGATATATGTGCATTATACATGTTATATTAGAATTAATTCACACTTTAATATATATTTCAGTCAAACATATTAAATTGAGTTTATGTCATTATTTATCTTCATGATAGTATAAAGTCTCCTTTGTTTTGGGTTTAATCAAAGCTTTTACAGTACAACCATGGAAGTATTATATTGTCAATATAATACTTCCATGGTACAACCAATAATGTTTTAAAATTAATTTTCGAACAATGTTGCATTTTATTGGCCAAAACTATCAAAACTTCCTGATAAGCAGTGTATATAAAATAGACAAGTATTTCTAAACAAGAAATAGTGAGCTGATGTCATGTCTTTCCATCCGATGGTTAAAGGGCTTATTTTATATTTTGTCGTATACCTAGTTAACTTTTCGGTAGCATGGGTAGTAAACTATGATTTTAAGAATTACGTACATTTGTCATCACATCCAAGACGAGATGACCTTTATTATCCAACTTGGTGTGGATACGATCTGTCCGTCAAGAAATTCTGTGTTCGTTGTTATTCTATACCGAAGTGGATGATACCTTCTTATTACTTACCTGCGTCTTTCGATGTCCTAGATCTGGAGTATACAAGTCCAACAGGAATTGGGAAAGTTATAAAGAAATCGATAAATACTCAAGTGGAATACATATCAGTTGTACATATTAAAGGTTATTTGTCTTCTATTCCAAGTAACCTTGGAGATTTTGAAAAGATTGGATATATTGACTTTTCTTTCAACAAAATAAATAAAATTGATTATATAGAGAATTTGCATTTCTTAGATACCCTTATTCTAAAGGGCAACAAACTTACGCATATTAATTCGGCAAGCTTTTCCGGTTTGACGCTTTTACGAAAATTAGATTTGTCGCAGAATAATATATATTACTTGGAACCAGGTTGGCTTCATTTTCGGAACATGACATTGTTTCACCTAGATTTAAGTTATAACAAATTGGAAACGCTTGATGCCTCAAATCTTATACAGAAAAGAATGTTTTGTTTTTATTATTTTGAGCACAATATGGTAAACAAATTTACTAATGTGTTGAATTTAGAAATTAATGAGGAGACTAACTTTGAAACTGGAGAATCTATTTATCTTGGACATAATAACTTTACATATTTCCCGACTATTGAAGAAATTGGACTGAAAGATAGATCTTTTTTAGGTAAGATAAGACATGGGATAGACTTCCGTAATAACGACTTTCTTGTATGTGATTGTAAGATGTACGACTTATTGGCAGTGTTTGAACTTCTCGTATCCAAATATCCAAGCTATGACTCAAACGAGTTATGTTATAGTCCACACGCACTTCAAAACTGGACAATAAACGACCTGACAGTAAATAAGCACCGTCTCGTTTGTAATATTACAGTATGCCCTGTTGAATGTCATTGCTCCTTTCATCCACACGAGTCGCAAACAGTAGTAAATTGTTCGTCGCTAAATCTGAAAAGGGTACCAAATCTCCTGCTCAAGGACACAAACCTTGTAATCGATCTATCAAATAATACAATAGAGGATCCAAATATGAGTGAATCAATTTATAAACGAATAAAGCAACTCAACCTCACGAACAACAATATTGACCAGCTCACAGACAAACTTGTTTACCAATTAAGTAATGTCAGTTTAATTAATTTCGATGCAAACATGATAAAGTCAATACCAAGAGCACTTCAAACCAGGAGTCCATGTGACGTTATTTTAGGCAATATTACGATTATTTGTACGTGTAATGACTTATGGCTGAAAATATGGCTATCATCAGGAAGAAATAGTTGCCAAAAAAATACGATGATCTTCTGTAAAACAAAACATGGAATTTATTCAATACATGATACGACAGATGACTTGTTAAATTGCAAAGTTAGAGAATTAGATATGACTCTTACTATTGTTACAGGGATACTCACATCATGTTTTGCTATTTGTGCGTTAACAGCCTTTAAATTTCGACAAGAGCTGTTTATCGTGTATCGTGAAATGCCGCATTTTACTCGGCATCAGAAAATTCGCGTAATTCCTGAAATTATAATTAACAGTGTTTACATTTCATTTGATAACAATGATCGTCAACTATTGAACTGGGTCACATGCGTTTTAGTTCCGCGTTTAGAATCAAGATCGTTCAAAGTTTTTATTTTTATCCGTGATAGCTATGCAGGAGAATCATATGAGGATGAAATACGTAAATTGATAAGCAAGAGTAATAACTACATAATCATAGTGAGTGAACATTATTTGTCACGTGATAATCAGTTTCCTAATTTTTTGGAATGGAAATATGCATTTGACCTTTATGCTTCAAATTCCTATAGAAGGCTAATTGTGGTAAATTACGATTTGCTACAAGCTGCACAAGTGGAAGACAGATATTTGCGTGCTATAATAAGGTTAGGACGAGATGTTGACTTCTCAGATAAAACAAGAAAGTTAAGTAAGGAAATTCTTACTAGACTAGGACGGCCAATCATAAGGCCAACAGATGTCACATTTTAAAGAAAGATTCCAAATTCAAATATATATAGACATTAAATGTTTTCTTCTGTATCCCTTGGTATGAAATTATTTTATTCAAATAATTATATCATGACAGTGGCGGATCCAGAACTTTTCATAAGGGGGGGCCCGCTGACTGACCTAAGGGGGGGGGGGGGCCGCTCCAGTCATGCTTCAGTGATTCCCTATATGATCAACCAAATTTTTTCCCACGAAAGGGGGGGGGGGGGGGGGGCAGGCCCCCCCCCCCCTGGATCCGCCTATACAGGATGCCTGCTATATAAGATATTACCGATAATACACCATAAGCAGTAGGATCAAGAAACAAGTATCAGTGCGTATTTTAATCTGTCTCCAAAAATTGATGACATACAACATTATGAATACTTGAATTGTATATCCCTTCTTTCAATTACTAGTATAATTACGGGTTCGTGACAGAATTTAATTAGTACATCTTTTTAGACTCAATTTTTAGTTTTCATTTTGTCATCTGATAAAGTAATGCAAGTAGATAGTTTTCTCTGCTTGCAATAGCTCACTGGCTAACCCCGTCCTTGTCTTCTTAATTGGTTTCTAATCGGACTTTAAACATGTTAATCGTGAGCAGCTTGACGGGTAACAAAGTGGAGCGGAAATCGCTTACTACTGGAGAACCTAATTTTGTCTCATTTAGTTTGATTTGGGTGCATTTTTGCTTCTTGATATCACCTATGTAACTTAGTTGTGAAATTGTAAATCTACCCAAAAAAAGAAATTTTGTTTAGAGGTAGCATAAAATCCGAAACCAAGCATAATGACGGAAATGACTTCCGGAAATCACTTTTTCGAATTATTCCCTAAATAAGATTTAGTGCAAAATCATTAGGGAGGATTGCAAACTACCTTTAAGGGTAGAAAGCCTTATTGATGGCTTTGACCTTTGAGCTGGAAGACGGCAAATTGACACACAAACGTATATAATCTCCTCATTTAGTTGGTTCTTGTATATCCTCGACTTACAAATATTCGGCTTTTAACGTTCCTGATGAAGGTAAATCCAGAAAAGCGCTTCGGACGCATGGATTTTTTTAATTATTTTAGCATTATATGTATAAAGGCACATGAAATGGGCCTTTCGGTGTGTATTTGCGTTTAAGGCATTCTAGTCGGTGACATAAAACCCGTAGTTGTATTCATCAGTTAACCCATTTAACAGGCAAATTTTCCCGAATATATGCTTTGATTATCTCAAAAGAAATTCATTACAAGAAAGAAAATATCATTCCGTTTAAAATTTCACAAAAGTAGTTTTTAGATTTCCAGATTTACATAGGAAATCCAAAATCAATGTTCAATAAATTACTTTGAACGTTAGTTTTATTTATATTAAGTTCATTGTCTTAGTATTGAATATGTAAATGATGTAGATATTAACCTTGGTGTCTATTGTTCCTGGAAGTACTACTTGACCATGCTTATGTTTGTCAATTATAATGTCAGTTTGAAATTCAGGTTTCTTTTCTAAAATTTAAAATTGGATAATAGCTGTTAGTCTAACTCTGTATTATTTATATCAAGTGTCTATTGAACGAAGAATTTAGAAAACTATGTTTCACTGTGATTGATGAATTCAAAATAGCAAATTAATTTCCTTTCGATTTTATTTTAACGAAGGTATAACAAATGTGACATTTATTAAAATGTTTGAATACTTTTTATATTAACACTATTCTAAATCATAAGAATTCGTAATCTTCTGATCATTACTGATGACTATAATTCCTCGGAGTTGTCTGCTTCCTGTTTGTCTTTCTTGTTTTTGTTTTCGTCCTCTTTATCACTGTCGTCCTCTTTGTCACTGTCGTCCTCTTTGTCACTATCGTCCGATTTGTCACTGTCGTCCGAAATATCTATGTAATTGTTGATCACAGTAGGTACAAGTGGCAATGGTGCTTTACTCAAAAACATTTTATGTGCCACCACACCAAAACCAAATCCAACCACAAATACAAAGGTATATCCAAGATAACTTGGTTTGTCGTGAGAGCTGCAATCAGTTGTTGTTCCTTTGTTAATGATATCGGTTATATTTTTAATAATATTAAGCGTTGTATTAATCATAATTCCTCAATCTGAAATATGAATAAACACAAAATAATTATATACTTGAATTTTGAAATATATACATATGCTTAGATATAGCAAGAATGAGGAAACTGGCAATCGAGAAAGCGGCCGACGGAAGCATCCTTCTTCATTATTTTATCCATCTTATGACATTTGCTCTTATGAATTCTAAAAAAAAATATTGGCGGAGATGCATGTATGTTTCATCTTTATGTGATTTCAATATATAATACAAATGTTGTAATTTAAATGGCATCACTTTAACATGTAAATGTAACAGCCACTATGTTCCGTCAGTTACTTTGTTCCGGCGGAACTTTTCAACTAGTTATTACGTTCCGATGGAACTTTCCAACTAGTTGTTTTATTCCGAGTGCAGTCGAAAAGTTCCGGAAAAAAGTAGCTAGTTGAAATGTCCCGGAATAATGTAGCTAGTTGAATAGTTAACCGTAACCCTAACCCTAACCCTAACCTTACCCTAACCCTAACCCTAACCCTAACCAAACCCTAACCCTAACCCTAACCCTAACCCTAACAAAGAGGAACTTTGTGACTAGTTGATAAGTTCCGTTTGACTTTTGTGGCTAGTATCTTTGTTCCCCTTTGAAAAGGTTCAAAGATAATATGTTGCGCTTTTACTTTGCATCAATTCTCCAAATGGAACTTTGTGACTGGTTGATAAGTTCCGTTGGAACTTTTGGGCTAGTTTGTTAGTTCCGGTTTTGACTTATTTGCCAAAGAGGAACTGTGTGGCTAGTTGACAAGTTCCTTTTGACTTTTGTAATCAGTATCTTGGTTTCCCTTTGAAAGGTTCAAATATAATATGTTGCGCTTTTACTTTGCATCAATTCTCCAAATGGAACTTTCTGCCTGGTTAATAAGTTCCGTTGGAACTTTTGGGCTAGTTTGTTAGTTCCGGTTTTGACTAATTTGGCAAAAAGGAACTTTCTAACTAGTTGATATGTTCCGTTGGAACTTTTCAACTAGTCACTTTGTTCCGGTGGAACTTTTAAACCAGAGGAAGAACAAAGTAACTAGTTGATAAGTTCCTCCGGAACTTTTCGGCTAGTTAGTTCTTTACGCCCGGAACTTTCCAACGTCGGAACAAAAGAGCATTTACATAAACTCTCCAAAACTTTCAAAGTCAATGGACAAGGACTGCATGAGAGGGAGTGGTCAATTATATTAACGGAAAGGAAATAAACCAATGCTAACACAACAACAAAATACTAACACCACTACATACCGAAAATCAATATACTTACCCCAATTGATCTAATCAAAAACCTTTTTAAAAATTGTGAAAAAATGAAATCAAATAATCTCAATGGAAATACGATGTCCCAATGCTACAACGTGTACAATAGTATACCAAATATCATTAACTTATTATAAGTGGTTATCCTTAAACTGACGTAAAACCGAACTTTGACTTAAATCAGGCTTTTAGCTTTCTCGTTTGAATTGTATCACATTTGTCATTTCGGGGCCTTTAAATTAAAGCTTGCTATGCGGTATGGGATTTGCTCGTTGTTGAAGGCCGTACGGTGACCTATAGTTGATAACTTCTACGTCAATTAGGCTCTAGTAGTGAGTTGTCTTATTTGCAACCATACCACGTTTTTTTTTTTTAATCTTAATTTGATTAGTTAACTGTGCAAAAGTTTCTAAGTCAATGGGCCATGATTAAGGAGGACGGGGCCAAATAATCTCCACGGAAATGAGATGTGCCCATTATAATCTACAACTGTATACAAAATGCCATTGAAATAACCTTAGTTATTCATCTTAAACTGACCTAATTAACAGAAAACTTTAACAGATATTTTGACGAGGTCAGTCAGGGCCGACGCCGTAAGAGGCACGCCTTAGTCTAGCGGCCACGACTTTATCGAAAGTCATACAAAAATATTATTATACCTCAATATGTATTTTCTTTATAAAATTATAGACGAATAAATGCACTATTTTACGAAATTGTCTGAAAAAGGGAAAGTTTCCCGTACGTTCTTTATCGTTTGAATTGACTCGTCTCCCGAAATTTCCGAATGATTGTTTATACTGCACCTGTGCTTTTTGAGCAGTCAAATTATTATGTCGTCAATACAGAATATAATTTCGCGGAATTTTTACTTTGTGCGCTTCAAATAAAATCAAAGTACTGAAGTACAGAACATCGGATGACTGCAAGTTCTTGTGGATGATCACAAGCACTTGTCTCAGAAAAAAAAATCACATCTCTATACCTGAAAGTGAGGTTAATGTACAGATATATATTGTTTTCTGAGACAAGTTCGTGCGTAGATGATGAATAAATGACAGGGAATTCAACCTCACCGTAATAGCTATTATATTGTAGTGATACAAATCAGTATATTCTGGTTTGTTGTTATATATTATATTAATATTTGTATATAACAGTTACATGTATATATTATTTTCATCTATTTGTATATCATTCTATTCTACTATTCTAATAATAGTGCAGTGCAAGTACATGGTGGACACTCTTCTGTATTAATTCGATTTTTCTGATAGATTTGATTCGAGCAGGCATTCATATTTTCTCGCAAAACGTTCTTAAGATATTCTTCCGCATGCGTTAACACAATTTTCTGTACGTGTGCATAGATATTTATGATTTTTTACTTATATATATTCCTAACGACAAAACATTTTCATATTATTAATTTAGGTTCTAAAAAAATATTTTTATGAGTATTCATTGAAGAAATGAATTTATAACAAGCGATAAGAAATCTTATTTTGCACTCGATAATGTCCGCGTATTTATACGAACGGTTACCAGTCAAAAACGAAAGTCAAATCTCTGTGGCAACAATACATCGGAATGCCCTCACTGTCATCGCGATGTAAAAATGATGGGTTACCCAACATATTTCATTTGGAACAGTTGTAAGAGTACTAAGAGAGTAACTATAAATTATCTCGAAATGAATACCGGTTTATATCTGTATAATAAAACACTTATTTACTGGCTATTCGAACAATAGCAAGTTTATTGTCCCCCTCGACATCAACTATTTCCCACCGCTTCACGTCGGGAAATAGTTGGTGCCTCGGGAGACAATAAACTTGCTATTGTCCTCATGTAAAAGGTGAATTTTTGGACAATCAAATAACAAGAAGTCCATTTCATCTTTTTCTAGGGTTCTTTATTCAACAATGATGTAAATTAATCATATAAATATAAAACCTACAAAATATAATAAAATACATTTAAAACAGATTAATCTATAATAACTTTATCGTACTGTGTTACTATTATTATAACATTACTGCAGATCAACAACATATAATAAGTGTATATTAATTTTGCTAGTGTTAAAGTTTGCAGCATAGAATAATTTTATGAGACGAAGATTAAGTCAAAATTGTTTTATTTAAGGATATCCTGAAATATTTATGGAACTCCTCAAAATATTTAAGGATATCCTGAAATCGAATTATGGATGTCCTGTAATATTTTAGAAGACCTGTATCCGGAAATCGAATACTTGAGGTCTTAGAATATTTCAGGAGGTCATAACTATTAATGGATATTCAGTATTCGAAATATGGAGCTCCTAAAATACAATAATTTTGACTTAATCCGCGCCTCGTATAAGTTGAACGTTATTATACATAGTATATGTCATAAGTGGGGGAGCTCTTTGAAATCCCCGTTTTATTGCATGCAAATAAAAGACCGTGTAAAATTTTATCATAGAGACCGTAAATTCTCACCCCACCCCCCCTTATTGGTGGTCATTTTTCCCCGGTATAAAATTGAGGAAGCATTTATAAAAATTTACATTTTTGACACTATAAGTCTTGTCATTTGCTGTGTGTTGACTCTAGACCATTGTTGTTGTCATTGAGTTGCCATCTATTGACGTTTGGCCGCCCCTGATATAAATATATTTTGAAATTTCCAGTTTACAAAATAGGAAATATAACATATTTATCATATATATGAAGCTCCATAAGGGGGGGGACATATTATGTTGATTATGATGGAAACTTCATACGCTTAATTAAGGTTTCAACCCATAGCGAGGAATGGTGCCAAATGAACACATTTTCTTGTTCAATGCGATTTTAATACTGCAGAAAAACACTATACTAATATTCACTTTTTTAGTCTTGAGTATTTGGTGAACAGTTGCATCATACTCATCTCCCTATTTTCATCTAGGATGAAATAAAAATCAATTTGTTTTTATTATTAAAACGCTGAAATGTCTCGCCTGCTTTGCTTATCATAACTGAATTTATGTTGAAAGTCTGTGACATCCATGAAAATGAGGTCAAGGTCATATGAACCCTGCCAGACAGACATGTACATGTGTACCTTATAATCATTCCATACACCAAATATAGTTAGCGTATTGCTTATAGTATCTGAGATAGTACGTACAACGAAAAATTAACTGATCACTTCCATATACCAAATATAGTTACCCTATTACTCATAATAAGTGAGTATTTCACATGACAAAACAAAATATACATTTTTCTCAAGTAGTCTATGAACCATGAAAATGAGGTCAAGGCCTGACAATGGAGATATGATGGACGGAAACTTCGTAGGTATATGCATACAAGGTGTATAAAGCATCCAGGTCTTCTACCCCTTGAAATATATAAAACTTTATATAAACAGACCACGCCGTCGCCACCGCCGGATTGTAACTAATCCATATGTCTCGCATTCTGCGACGAAAGTCGCAGGCGAGACAACAAATCAGGTAACAGAAAATGTCAACCTTATGTATATTTTATATGTTGATGATATACTAACTCAGAAAACGTATGGAGTTCTGACTTTTAAACATTCAAACCAATACTTTCTGATGAATACACATTATTAGTGAATATTTTCCACAGGATTCGATGATACAACAAGACACCAATGCTACCAACCAAGTTGTCTCTTTGGCAATCATACCACATCTCTTTATTTTATTTTAGTACAGTGAGAGAGAGAGAGAAAATATAGTGTACCCATGTATTTTGTCGACATACGAAAGCTATGTTTATATTCTTTCGTTTGACAATTGAATTTGGAAAGCTTTTTAGAAAGCTAGTTAGTATCTGTGAATATCTGTTTTTTTTGTGACACTTACGGCTATGTCGTTTATCTTCAAATTGACGTGTATTTTCTACTTTCCCTAAATGTGTATCCCACTCTAAAAGAGGAGTCTGTATTGCAATCACACTGAGGCCAATCTATTCGTCCAACACATATTAGCGTCACACTTTTCTCTGAAACTATTCAACAGAACGGGTCTATATTTGGACGGCAGCTGGACAGTGATGGGTTGAAACGTGTTGGCACTTTTCGGATAATTTACTCACTTTCTGTTTGCCAATACTTTAAAATTTTCAATACTTTGGATGAACTTAATTTTTTTGTCACAATTAACTCAAAAACTATCAAAAAGATTATGACTTTTCGGATCTGTCAGACGCCTACTTCCCGTTTCACGATACTTGGAATTACGAATGGGGGTATTTTAAGTACGACACACGTCCATTTTTGTTATATGTGAACCTGGCTGGAATGTGGATCTGGCATGTTGAATATAGGAATCAAAAACAGATATTTTAGGGCATATTTGATTTAAAACTGGTCTGATAAAATAATTCGTCCTGTTTCTGTTTTCGTCACGTACACATTCTTTAGTTCTCCTTTGTGAACTTTGTCATGCTATCTTCAGTACTTTAAATTCCTTTTTAGTGTACGTGACCCATGTATTTCTCCAAAATACATGTATCTATAACATTGTAAGCGTGAATATATTGTCTTTCCTTTTACTTTAATATATGGTTTCTTTCATTAATGAAATTCAAATTTTGAATATTTCACCATAGAAAACCTATCCCCCCTCCAAGATAATTCAAATGCACACTGAAAAGTGTATGAACAATGTCGATATAAGGAGATGTTTTTATATGATTGTCAATGAGACAACTATCCACCAGACACCAAAAAAAAATGACCTGGATTCACCGTACCAATTAATAAACTATCTATTATAACAACTTGAAACTAGGTCAAAACGAAAATGATATATGCTTTTGTTATGAAGCGTGGTTAACATTCTGCTGACAATGATCGATTTTTTTGTTGATTTGTCTATATAAGTATAGATATATACTTTTGGTATAAAACATATTTATATAATATAAAAGTATACATGTAAATTACCTGCATGAGTGACTATTTACATTTATATCCTGAATGTCCTTTCTTTACACATTTATTTATACATCTATATTTTACTTCCTACGGAAAAGGAGTTATCTATATGATTTGAATGTTATTGCATATGTAATAAATAAAGAAAATGTGGGGAACACGTGAAAGAGATATATACCAAACAGCACAATGACTCACTATACAAATCCTTGTATACAGATAGAAAAGACATTTATAGGATATAATTAATTTTTACAATGCGATACATTATACATACAACATGTATTCTTAGAAATCATACAATTGATGTGACCAAGGATTTATGTATTAGATCCTTGATGTGGCAGGTGTATTGTATCTTTATACCTTTAAAAATCAAATAGATATGTGCGAATAAATTTCAAATTTGAGCTTTGAACATGTTGATAGCACGTTATAGTAAACATGGTAAATTACGATACTAATTTAAAGAAAAAAGGGAATTCCAAATTTGGGCAATATTAACGACTTTATTCCGAAAAAAAACATGTCGAAAAACATGTCGAATAAATACATTTATAAATTTGATCATGTTATAGAATAACTCTTGGTGAGATCAAAACAAAACTTTACATTTTAAGGCTGGATTAACATCTCGAATAAATGTATGATAACGATTTCACGCTCGATTTCCAAATATGGTCATTAAAAATTACCCAAGCCGGGTTCAAGGATATTGACAATTCAGTCTTTTGCAACTGGTAAACAGTACTATTGTTGCTATTTTGAAACAATTCACCCCCCTTTTAATTTTGCTCTTTGGTGATTAACCCGCTCCTTATAAGGAATTTAACCCTGCTATTGACAGCTATATGCCGTGTTAAAAACAAATTCCTCCATTTGTCTTAACCAAAACGTACATTCTTTAATAGTATATAATAAAATTGTTAATTATTTTCACACTGTCTTTGATTGGTGTTACTGTATACAAAACGTTTCATATTGCACTGTTACAATTCAAATATATTTATCATAAATAAAAACCAAGAGTGCAACGCTTAAATGTCTCGCCTGCTTAACGTATCGTAATTAAACTTATGTTTAAATTATGTAATATGAAGGTTTTACTACAAGTTTCACAATAATTAACATTATCAATGATCCATGAAAATCTGGTCAAAGTCAGTTCAGGTCAAATTCAGACGGTCGGAGATGTATACTTTAGACCAAATATAGTGGCCCTATTGCTTATAGCATATGAGAAACTGACAAAATAGCAAAAACTGAACATTGGCCAATGAAACATGAAACTATGATGAGGTCATAGTCAGATGAAACACGCCAGTCGAATATGTACACAATGCTCGAGGTCAAATGAAACGTGAACGACATGCAGACATGTGCTCCTTATTATCATGCCATGTACTAAATATAGTGGCTCTATTGCTTATAGTATCAGAGAAATTTACAAATCTACAAAAACCTTAACATTGATCAACGAACCATGAAAATGAGGTCTAGGTCAGATCAACGATTTGTATAGTGAGAAGGATTGAAATCTCATGGTTTATCGTTTCATCTTACGCGGCGAGACTTCGCGCTACTCGCCACTTACGATATGGGGACATGTATCCGGTAATGTTTTGTACACATGTATCGAGTTCAATTCAATTCAATATTTTATTGGAAAGAGCACAATAGAGGCGTGATCCAAGTACAGACAATAATATATTCAACAATAACATCTATATTACTAAATGAATAGAGTTGAAATTGGGTGTCGCGTTTTCTTCTTTAACATAAAATCCACGAATATTGTTTTATACCACAAAGGGGTAATGACCAGCGTAGTTTATTATGTGTTCATTTCAAGATCTTTTGGGGGGGTATTTGGGGGTTAAAATCGGAAAAAAGCCTGTATGGATCGACCGTCCTTCACGACGTTCGGCTTTGAAATTTACGTACCGTCATCATTTCCCTCATTGCACGTCTGCCCGGCAAAATTAAATTTTATTTCGTAGCAGATACGGTTAATATTGACCTTACACTGAAACACTTTGTGATACACATTCCCTTGACGCTCTCAGCAATTTAACAACAGATTTTTACACGTCAAGAGCTTTTCCTTCCGGGGAACCGCATCAATTCAACATGAAAAGGGTGGGGGGATTACTTCAGTTTTCGGTTAAAATGGGTACCGAAGTGCGGCTGGAATGTGACCCACCCCCATTCATATATTAATGCATAAAATTTTCAGCCCACTCATATATGGGGGTGGTTCTGTGCACGGAAACACCAGAAATCAGGTGCGGATCCAGGATTTAATGTTAGGGTGGGGGAGGGGGGGATGCAAAAAATATTGTCATATTGAGTGGTGGTATTTCGTCTGTGACACGCTTCAAAAAGATTTAAGATCTTAATATCGCCTTACACCAAAACTATATATCTTCAAATTATGAACCAAAGTATATTTCGCGGGTATTTTCTAGTCTACTATAAATGAAATAAAGATCAATGTAACAACAAGTGACATGTAAGTCAATTCTAAATATATATATATATATATTCTTTATTGCCTCCAGAAACAGAGTGTGTAAATGATAAACAAAATAAACACAAAATTAAACAATTGAACAAAATAGGCAAGTTAAATCAGAATGTCATGATCAGTTGAAATAAGTAAGTGTCAGTAACGGATATTACAGTTATTTTAATCTCGTAGTAAAATTCCAAATCTATAGATAAATCGAACGCATATGGCTTGGAATGTCTCTAATTGGCCAGTTTGTAGTGGGAAATTGTCCGAATTGCAGGATAGTAAGTAATAAAAGAGTTTTTCATCAGACATGTTTGCTAGGAAGATACTGAAAGTTAATGGATTGATATTTATAATTTCACACCAAAAGTTATCACGTGTTTTGTCGAGATAGTCACATGAAGCAATAGCGTGATTTAATGGATCCAAAAACATTTTACCACATCTGTCACAGAGAATGCATTGCCCATTGCCATTGTCTCTTACTAAACAGCAAACAGAAATCCAATAATGTGCTTGTTTTCGTAGGTTTGGATGCTTCAAAGCTATAGTCCATGCAGAGTGAGGTACATATGCATTTTTGATCGTTTTAAAAGCAACAAAGTCATCATCAAAGTTTATACGTCTTGTCCAATTATCAATCTCGAAAGCGGCCACTGCTGTTTTCACATTACGCTTCCATACTAGAGTTGTTGGAAAAAGTCCGGTTTCACAGAAGTTATCAAAATATGTCGATAAATCATATTTCTGCAAAATGTTCATAATGTCAACAGTGAATCCCAAATTTGGATGGCTTCCGTCGTTGTATTTTAAGTCGTTAACTCTACGAATCAATATACGGACAGATACAGATTCGCACGGAAGATTACATATCCGTCCTAAGAATAGAAGTTTCTTCTCGTCCACATAGCTTTCAATGCTGAAACAACCGATCATCGGAAGGCACATATCACTTCGTGTGCGTCTCGGTAAACATTGAAGATCAATGTAACAACAAGTGATAAGTCAATTCTAGATATGGTCTATGGATACCATAACATTCAGAATTCTTCATGAAACCATACTCATATACATCATGATTATTCTAAGTTTTCATAATTTTATTTAAAAACACAGTCACCTATATAAGATATATGTGTATATGCACAAGCGGCTATAAAGGATTATTATCCGATGAAACAGTATGGTGGTCTCTCAAATCAATAGCTTTTCAATATACATACAAATTGATTTTAGTTCTTTTCCAGAATTGGGATTTAAAATTTTGATAAAATTTTCATTCGAAATATTTGAATTTATTTCATTGATTTTATATTTAGATCTAATTTTGTTAAATTGAGGACATTCAATCAAGAAATGTATCTCATTTTCAATTTGTCCTGTCGAGTTATTTTCTTGTTTTGTTACGTATAAACAGTGTTGTGATGGTAAGGAACATTTTCTTTGTTTTAAATTTAATAAAGTATTCAGTTTTCATTCATTAGTTCATGTAATTATTATTGGTTATCACTTACTTTTGATAAAAAAAAATTTGATAGAATATTGGGTATAAAATTGAAGTCTGACTAATTTTTGCGCAGCTATACTATTTACTATTGAATATATAATGTTAAGCAAAGCCGTACAATGAATTGTAAAATAAACACAGTTATACAAATAGAACTTATCATGTATCTTATAATTATATTATTTATACTTCTAAGTCAAATAATAACTAGCACAATTAATATAATGCATTGGAATTGCCAAGGTTGCAATGCTCACGAACCTGAATATTTATGCTCATTGAGCAAATCAAGCAAACTACCCCATATTATATGTTTACAAGAGACATGGTTTAACAATCAAGAGGAACATACTCAAATAAAAGGGTACAAGCTGGCATCATACTCAGTAAGAAACACAAAGGGTGGTGGCACAGCTATTTATTGTAGAGATAATATCAAATACACGAAAGGAATATCAAATCAAAACTGGAAACCAGTAGTATTGATATCAAAATAGACAACAAAACAATTACTATAGTAAATATTTATGACAGTGCTACCGATACTAAGAAAGCAGAATATGAAAATATATAATTATGTGTGCATGGTGACTTTAATGCTCATCATACTCTATGGGGCAGTAAAAGTATTCAAATAAAGGGGAAAGAACTATATACATTTGTAATTTCATACTCAATAACAATATAGTCATTCTTAATGATGGCAGTGGCACCAGATTAAATCCAATAAATCTGGAAACCTCATGTATAGATATATTGCTTGTTAGCCCAAATATTAGTCATAAAGCCACATGGTCAGTAGAACATAGCTCAACTCATGGTAGTGACCATTTTGTGGTTTTAATAACACTCAAAGAAAAACCGAATTATAAAGATGAATCGATTTTTAAGTGGAACTACGAAAAGGCTGACTGGAATGGATTCTCCAGCAAATGTAACCAAATTCTATGTGATGACATGGTCAAGAAACCTGTACTTTACTAACGGATACAATAACCAATATCGCTGGGGAGTTCATTCCAGTCAGAAAAATTAATAATAAAAATAATAAACCATCTGTACCTTGGTGGAATACTAATTGCACCAAAGCAGTAAAAGACAGAAA